CCGATGTGGGACTCGATCCCAGGACCCTGAGATCATGACCTGAGCCGAAGGCAGTGGCTTAACCCACTGAGCCACCCAGGCGCCCCTAGAATGAGTTATTTTTATACGGGGAGTGAGCGGCATAACTTGGCAGAAGATGTCACTTGACTAGCAACGTCTTAGATTAAGTGACAAACTATTTTGAATAATGACAAGAAACCACGTCTAAAATACTAGAACCAAGAGTATTTACGTGGAGGCTCCCAGTTGGACAAGGACTCCATAAGGCCAAGAGCTGCTGGGCGGGGGAGGGGACGGGGTTTAACTGATAGAATCAGGCACTCTAAGGAATTAAAAGGTGTTCATGGGTTAACTTGTTAGACCTTCCAGATAAGACATTCGAAGGAGGCTTCTTCCTCCTTTTTTCCCTCCCTCCAAGAAATTTAACAAGACTCAGGCAAATGGTGAGGCTGGCAGGCTCGGGACCCAGCAGGGGAGGGGCTGTTCCGGGAACAGCATGCTTGGGGCGCTCTCGCGCCTTATGCTCCTGAGCTCGCACAATCAAGGCCGGTTAGTAATGACCAGACCCAGCAGGCAGTCTGCAGATGCTCCCTCACCATTTGTCCAGAACCTTCTTAAGGTAGTTGGTGGGTTTTTGCCAGCCCTGGGGTCAGGCTGCTCAGTTTGTGCTGGAAATTTGTTTAGGATGAGCCCTTCTTTTGGCCGGATGGTCGCCCCCAGGGCTGGGTACCCAGTGTCCGCATTTTAGCAAAGGGCGTCTGATCTCACACTGGGGTTGAACATGACTTGCCTTTTCTCATTTGGGGTTACTTCTTCGTGCCCAAACCAATGTCCCCAGACCCTGGCCTGAAACTGTTTCCAAGGCTGCCCCCACCACAGGTGGAGTGGCTTTCCTGGAGCCCACCAGAGCCTCCTTGGCTCCGGATTCTGCAAGGACAGTTGTCTCATAGGTAACCATGGCTGACATTTCAGGTGTGACTCCGGTCCTGTCGGTTTGTCCTTGGAGATCTTTCTATGGAAGGAGCTGAGTCAAGTCCAGACACACGGCCAGAAGTCCAGTTAGAAGGCGCAGTGTCTGCCCTGAGCTCATTCCTTTTCAGAGGAAGGAGTTTGATCTGAATGTTTTTCCAGGCATCTACTTGTCATTGACGAGTGGTAGTGATCTCCCAGACACCTCTCTGTCAGGAAAGACACAGCAGTGGTTTATTTGCGGCTTGGCTTGGTAGTATCGGCCGCCCTGTTGTTAATAGAAGAGCCCTTACCTCCTTTGAAACTACCAGCTGATTAAAAGGCAGTTTCTCTTCTCGCCCAGGAACGAGCATCTTTGCCTGATAACCCTGGTATGGGGACACAGTTGTGTTGGGGCTGGGGTGGGATCGGTGACTTTATCATGTGGCCACCTCCCATCCATCTGGGTTCCACGCTAGGGGATTTTCAGGTCTGAAAGACCCCGTTCCCCATTTCCTCCTAAAGCCGAAAGGAGGGGTGGGGAGAGGCCGCCGTCCTGAGCGGCTCCTTGTGTATGTTCCAGAGTCTCCCCTGCAGACCCCTGCTGATGATGGATCTGAGGAACCGGGCTCTGAAACCTCGGATGCTAAGAGCACGCCGACGGCCGAAGGTGGGCCCTCCTCTCCCTGCTGCATTCAGTCAGCCGCCCCTGCCTCCAGCCTGCGCTTAGCCATGCTTTCAGCCCCGCGTGCTGCCCTTCCCGGCTGCGTCTTCTGCCGCCTGTCCCTCTGGCTGAGTCATGCTTGTTCCGTGCTTTGCAGGATGGGCTCGGGCCCCGGAATGTGACAGGAGCCAAGCCCTGCTTTGATGTCTTGCTGGCCAGGGCGAGGTTTGGGCACCTTCGTCGTGTGTGCACTTTGAGGTGGCCGCATTAGCAGAGGCTAGGATCTGCAGCAAAGCGGGGCCTGAGCACGGCTTCACAAAGCCCCTGTTCCATGTGGATATCCTCCTGTACTCCTTCAGAAGCCCCCACCTACTTTATCTTCTTTCAGGAGCCACCAGGTCCCAGAGCAGCCATTGGGCTAAAGAAGGGGCCGGCTCAGTGCACATCTCCAAGCTCACACGTTGGGCCTGGTATGGTTTAGTTTCCTTCATTTCGTCGGCTCTGGGCTTGGTCCGGGCCTCTAGACCTTGGCCAGGGTGTTCGTTCCAGCACATCTCCTACCTTATCCTCTCTAGACCTTTGGTTATTATAAAGCTCCTCATGTATTTCCTGAAGAGCTCCTTGGTCCTGATTTTGACCACCTGCTCTTGCTTCCCATCTATGTCCATCAAGACTGCATTTGATTTCAGATCATGGAAAACCCAACTAGCTGCAGCACGGATCTGAAGAGTCTTCTGTGTCTCATGTAATAAGATGTCTGGAGGGCAGCAGGTCCCCTGGGTCATCAGTGCTCTTCTGTCTTTATCTGCTGCCATCCTGAACAGTTGGATTGTTGCTTCATGGTGACAAGATGGCTGCTGCACCTCCAAGCATCACATCTGCTTTCACAGCAAGAAGAAAGTAGCCAAGCAAAGTGGCCAAAAGGGCCCTGAAACCAAATGTTTTTCCTTTTTATTAGGAAAGCAAGAGTTCTGTGACAAGTCCCAGCTGGCTGACCCCCACTTATGTCTCATTGGCCAGAGATGAGTCTCATGGATGCCCCTGGCTATACGCAGGAGGCTGGAACACGGAGCATTTTGTTTTCTGACTCACTAGTTGCAGAAATCAAGGGAGAGGGGCATTGAGGATGGCTTTTGAGTAACCAGTCGATGGCATCTGCTCTTGCATCTCTCCATACATCCCCCAGGAGGCCTCTCAGCACTTCTCCTGGCCCTGCCCATGGCTTTAGAGGCTGTCACAGGATGAAAGCCTGGCCCAGCATCTCCCAAGTGTCCAAATGTCCACTTTTGAATGAATTCAGAAAGCGACTGCCAAGTGCCTACAGACCGCTTGGCATAAGGGTGCTTCTGTGGGGGAGAAAGTGGGCGAGGCCCTTCCCCCGTGGTGTTCAGCCTAGTGAGGAAAATACCCATGCCTAGTGCTCGTTGCTCTTCTTCTTAGGGCCAGTGATGCAAGACATTTCCCGCTGATCTTGTTAGGACAGTTTTGCAAGTTGCTACCACCCTGTGAAGGCCCTCAAAGCTTAACGCCAGACTTATGGCAGCCTCCCAAATCATGGTTTTCAGTGCTCCTGTCAACATTATTCTGGAAGAATCTTCCAGCCAAGTCTCGCTGCACTCTGGATGCTGTACATGTGTGGGCCCCAAGAGCTTCCGTTCCCACCCCACGGGGAAGGGGACCCTGCGGGCGGTGGGTTTTGCCAGGCTGCTCTGTCTTCTCCCGAGACGACCATAATTAAAATGGGTTCCATTTGACTAACTGACTCAGACTCTTGGAAAGCTTTCAAAACTGACAACTCCTTCTGTCTGCCTGGAACAGCCTTTGGGTGTGCTAGGGCGGTGCTCAGGGAGGACTGCGGATTTGGTAGTGTTCACCCTGACGAGAGGCTGACAGCATTCCTGGTGGTGGGTTTTTACCTCTGGCCTCTGCTCTGAAGGTGGACCATTTGTTGTCAAGGACTGTTGTCAAGCACCCAACTCTGGACAGGACCAGCCTGTCCATTGCCCCCACCTGCCCAAGGGAGTTTGTGTTTCCAACCATCAGTCATGGGCTCAGGGGACAGGGGGCTTGGAGCTGGGAGCCAACTTGCTGGTCACCTGGCAATGGCACTCCTATTTCACAGATGAGGAAACTGAGACCCAGAGGGCAAAGGTCTTGCTCCAAGCCTCACAGCGATCATCTACTCTTCAACATGCCTTCTTTCAAATCTCCTGGGCCCACCCCCAGCAGTCTCTCTCACTGCAGTGTTGACATGGGGGCTGTCCCCAGCAGACGGCCTGGGTATCTCACAAGCTGGGGCCACCAAGCAGGGTACGAATGTGCTTCCTTCGAAGACGTCAGGCTCTGGGCCCTGCTTTGTGGTGTTGCTGTTTTGCATGCCGCTGAGTCCCCTTCTGCCTCCCCGTCCCTGCCCACTCCCACACTAGAAGTAAGGTGAGGGGTGGGCCTGGCTCCTCCCAGCCCCCCTTAAGGAGACTCTCGGTTTGCAGACGTGACAGCACCCTTAGTGGATGAGGGAGCCCCCAGCGAGCAGGCGGCCGCTCAGCCCCACACGGAGATCCCAGAAGGAGCCACAGGTGAGGGTGACTCCCATGGCCGGGCACCCGGCTGCCCTGCATGGAGGAGGGGTGCGAACAGCGGTGATGCTCTCCCCGAGTGAGGCAGCCATGTGGGTGGATGCCAGGGTCTGGGGTTCTTGGGTCGTTCCGAGTTTGGTGCCCTGATGCCCTGTTGCTTCCATGGCTGCCTGCCAGCCTCTCAACAGACCGAGGCCCTTCTGGAGTCCTTCCAGCTTCTCTTCTCCCGTCTCAGCCCACACATCAGCTCAGAGCTCTCAGCCAGGTCCTCTGAGGCAGGCGGGGGGGCAGATTCTGCCTTCTTCAATCCCCAAGCTCAGCCCCGCCTCCTGCTGGGACTCTGCCCAGTGACAGAGTCCTCTCCTAGTGGGCAGTTTACCACCCAGGGCTCCCCCCCCTAGCGCGTGGCAGGGTCTTAATGGGACAGACCCTAAGGAGTTCAGCAATGGGATCTAGCACCCATTTCTAGGACTGTTGCTTCAAACGTGTTTGCACAGAACAGGCGTGGCTGGACTGTCCTGTCTACGCAGATGATGGGAGTAGCTCAGTCACGGCGCCGACCAGAGCTAGTGAGATGACCCCAGGGCCGCCAGGGGCCCTCAGAGCTGCCCGTGCTCTTAGGAAGTGGCGCGCTCGGCCCAGAGTGCTTGCTGTCATCCCCTTCTCACCCTCCTCTTTGGGTTTCCGTAAAGACTCAGCGGTTGGCGTGGCGATTTGGGGGTTGCTCAACAGGACAGGCAGGAGAGTGCTGGATGGGATTTCACCAGCGGTGGAGAGTGGGGGAAACGTCCCCAGATGGGAGTCTCCTTTCCTTCCTGAAGACAGTGCTCATGGCAGCCACTTGGGAAACTGCAGCCTTTTCTTGGGGCTCCATTTGTGGAGAGCACCACCCCCCACCATGCAGAGGTCCAGCAGCACCCACCACCCCAGCTCATTAAAGTAGTTTCTGCTTTGTGAGTTGGTCTTTTGAAATGGAGAGAGGCGGGGCCTCATCCCAGCGGTGAAGGTGGCTTGAAGGCCGTGGAATGACTCATGGACTGAGATGTTGGATAACCCGATTTTTGTCTTCCCCGTCCCAATGCAGCTGACTCAGTGGGGGAGCCCTTCTCCTCCCAGTGTGAAAACTGTAGCCTGCTCTTGACTTTGTCATCTCTCCTCGGTAACCGAAAGTACTCTCGTCTCCTCCGTGGCAAAATGCAGTCTGCGAGTGCTGCGCAGCATGTCCAGTCCAATGCAGTAGCCCAAGCTGATTCGGGGTTGCAGCCCTCCCTTCTGGGCCTGGGGAAGCGGGGGAGGCGGGAGGCAGGAAAATTCGTCCCGGATTGGCACTACTGGGAGTCAACTTCACAGGCTCTGCTGTGTTTAAAGTTGATCTCTCTCGTGGGCACCTGTCTGGAGCACTTCCAGCCCCTGCATCCCTGTTATCCCCCCGCAGGTCCCTCCCCCTGCACTGGCTTCCAACAGATACTTCTCTCTCCTCAGCCCCTTGGAATCTGAAGATCCACCCAGCCTTACTGTGCCAAGGCTGACTTCCATTGGTGGCCTACCGGCCACGGTCCAAGGCACCTCCAGCAACTGCTGCCCTGGCCTGTATCAGGTCTGTGGGAGACACACATTCTTTGCCCAAGCAAACCTGGGGTGTGTTGACTAACCTCATGGGCTGAAGCCACCACGCCCCTTCACTCTACCCCCAAATCAGGGCCAGCCCATCTCTCCTGGTTTTCCCAGGTGGGATTCTGACAGCAGTCCGCCATGTCTCTAACCCCAGGGGATACACACCAAGTATCTGAGTGATGCCTTGAAACTGTTTCAATGGGACTGTGATAGGAGGTGGCCCCGTAGCTGTCCTGCACACTCCCAAGCCCCGCTTTCCACCTTCTGCATCCTCAATGAGGTAGAGAGATTTCAGAGTTGGGGCACTTGTTTCCAGCTATCGTGTTGGATGCCCTGTACCCTAGTTTAGTCCTTGTTTGGGCGTGTCACAGTTGCTGTATCTTGGCACGCCGATGAAACTTCTCCTTGGAGGTCCTTTTGGGGGTGTGGTGTGGCCACCCCACTGCAGGAACCCCTGCCTTGTTGGGGTGGGAGCCCCTGCCTCTGGGGGCTTCAGAGAGAGAGTGACTGCCCAGCCACCATCATGCATCCGACCTGCCCCCTTTGGTTTCTCTGGGGACTCCCTTGCTGGGAACTGGGAGGGGGGAACATCAGAGTTACCAGCAGCTTTTAATTTCTGACATGCGCTCAGGCCAAGATAGTCAACCCTGCACTGGCCTGTGAGTGCAGCGACTTCCCAGCGCCCCAGCAGTCCATGCCCACGTGTCCCCTCATATTCTTAGTCTCCAGGACTCCATGCCACTCAGCTGGACTTGCTGTCAGTCCAAGGCTTTCTATCATGGCCTTGTCAGAAACTCAGACCACATCTGTGCTTGGAGCTGCCTCTCCTGGACGGTTGGCTGTTGTTGAATGACATGGAGGTGTCACCATTTGACATTGTGGGTGGCACAGTGTCGGCTGGCGAGGGCCCAGAGGGTGGTCACGTTCATGGCCTGGCAGATGGGGAGCCCACTGCCAGCCCCCTTCTATCCTCCCTGCAGCTGTTCTGGGACGGCCTGTGGGCTAGGTATTTGTAAGGTCACTGTGCAGCTGTCCAGTAACCCTGAGAATCATCCTTTTCCCTCATCCATGCTTTCTAGGGTGGGCCCAGGCTGGTCACTTGGCATTTCTGTCATAGGTGTAAAATCTTAAACATCGCAGGGCTGGGAGAAAAGACTGGTCGCCGCCCAGCCGGCCACTCGTAGACATCTCTTCGAGGTGGTGGCTTCTCTGTCCATGTCCGTCGGGGCACGGGCGTTCTTCTGGGGCCATGAGGCAAGCGTGCGTCAATGTGTAGCAAAGTTGCTTTATAGACCCTTTCTTCCGGACACTGGTATCCGTTGTCCAGAGCAAAGTCCTGGTTCTTCATGGTACAGAAATTGGCATTGCTGTAAAGCGTACTGATTTTGGGGCTGTCGGAGATGTTGTCTCCCTGAGCAGGAGCCCAGGACATCCTCAAAGCTGCTCTCTGGCACCACTGACCCCCTTCTAAGCAGGGGCCCCTACTCCTAGCATGTGGTTAGAGGTGTTTGCCCCGTCATTTGGAGACAAGAAACCAAACAGCTCTGGGGCGCCTCCCATATGCCCGGCACTCAGCCAAACACATTCACTCAAATTCTCGTATTAACCATCATTCCCATCGTACGAGACAAGCCGGTGTCATCACCTGGGGGTCTAGATGAGCACATGGGCTCAGAGAGGTTAAGTAAATGGTGGTGCCTGGTTGTGAACCCCAGCCTGACTCCACGGCCCTAGATAATTAGTGCTTCCTTGTACCCTCAGCGCCTCTGGAGCCCTGGCTGGGGCTGGGAGCGCACCTGCCGCTCAGACCTGGTTCCGGTCAAAGGCTGAGCGCAAACTGGCTCTCTGACCTCACCCCTCCTGTGTGAGTGGGGCACTCGGGCCCCTGCGCCCTGTGGAGAAGGTCTTTCCTGCAGGATCATGGTCATGTGGAAGGGGTGTGGGTGCGGTGGGGTTCACTAAGTGCTTTCAGCCACATCCACATCCCCAGCAATAATGTTTGTGAAGAGCCGGAGGGGCCACCCCTTGGTACCTCATAAGATGTGCCTTTCCTGAATGTTCTTGGAAAAATCCCGGAAAATGCAAAGAGCTTTGTTTCCAGCAAACAGTAACTATCTTTGCTTCTATCTTCTTCATTTGCTGACCATAAAACAGCTGAGGAAGCAGGCATCGGAGACATGCCCAACCTGGAGGACCAAGCTGCTGGACACGTGACTCAAGGTCAGTGGGCTAGAATCGCCGACCAGGCATGGGGGTTGGGAGGGGGGAGACAGAAGCACTCTGAGGGGCTCCACCCTGTAAAGACAGTCTGGCCCCGGGCCCGATTTCACGAGGCCAGACTTCTAGGAGTAGGCGCTCATCGAGGTTGGGCTAATTAGATAAAGAAAGAGCTCTAGTCCCTTTTTTACCCCCTTAACATAATTTCTGATTCCTAAGCTGTTTAGTGGGAAGTCAATAATGTCCCAACAGAAACCCAGAGATGCAGGACGGGTGATTTCCTCTGCAGGCTGCCCTCTGGCCTGTCCCGGGAGCAGGGCCTCAGCCGTATCCCCACCCAGCAAATTCTTTTCAACTTTCTCCTGGGCAACCTTCAGACCTTATTGTGATGCTCTCTTCTCAGAGAACCAAACTACTGTGTTCAAGGAAGCCAACTTTCTGTGAGCATTTAGCACACATGTGTTAAGAACTTAATCTTATAAATCCTAAAGATTCCTTAATCTCAGGAAATGGAGACCTCTGATAGAAAGGGAGACCTTTAGGTTTGTTTTCTATCATTCGCCGCGTCAATGAACTCGACAGTGTACTGTATCATGGGGAAGTTTCTAGATTGCCAAAGAGCTAGGATGACCCTGTTCTTCTCTCCAGAAAGTGATGTGGGATTTGTCCAACATTTGGTGCCGCTGCTGGGACCCGCTGGCGTTAAGAGGACCCTGGTCCCAAAGAAGGGTCTCGCTGCAGGTGTTTTGAAGCTTAACTCCACATGAGAGGGGTCTGTGCCCCAGAGCGGGCTGACGTGCTCAACTCACGTGGCACAGAGAGGCGTGTTTTCATTTTTAGGCTTACAAAGAGCTTCAAAAAATATTAGAAGGGATAATGAATGTAAGGGGGAACCCTAGCCTGTACGTTACAAACAGACCCTGCCTCCTCTTTCTTTTAGGTCATGGTTCTCAACTTCGGTAAAATGAAAGGCTTTTCTAACCTCTGGAGATGATCATTTATTTCCATAGAAAGAAGTGGATTTGAGTTTTTACCCTATGAATTTTTTTAAAAGATTTTATTTATTTATTTGACAGAGGGAGAGAGAGCATAAGCAGGGGGAGTAGCAGGCAGAGGGAGAGGGAGAAGCAGGCTTCCTGCCAAGCAGGGAACCTGATGCGGGACTTGATCCCAGGACCCCAGGCTCATGACCTGAGCCAAAGGCAGATGCTTAACAACTGAGCCACCCAGGCGCCCCTTCCTACACATTTTTACTACAGGCTATGTGTTTCTGCCCCTATGACATGTTCCATGCAATGAAAAGATCAGGCCAATGTCTTTATTTTTGTGCTCACTGACTTCTTCCATTTTTCCATCAGTGTCCTAAAATCGCATAGATACAAAGATGAGCACCAGATAGACACTGGCTGTGGGAAGTGGGCACCAAATCCGTGAAACATGGAGGTTTCTACCTCTGCTCCCAAGACCAGCACCTCTTGCCTTGATGCAAACTGCTGGTCCATACTGACAAGGCCTCTGCCCTCTGGTGAACCCGTGTGAAGCTTGGACACATGATCCACAAACACATCTTATTTCCCAAAGACCTGTCATCTGTTTTCAGATTTAGGAAGAGCCACATAACAATAGCCCTGTTACTCGATCTTGAAGTTTCTGCGGCGGAAGGCAGCCCGTGTTCTTGAAGAACCTAAGATAGACGAGGCTGCTTCAGGATGGCACCCAGGGAGCTGAGTGTCAGGTGTAGGAAGGCCTTACCCGTGTGCTGCTCACAGCGGGGTACACCTTTTGTCTGTGTCACGAGGACCGGGGCCTCCTGAGGGCGAGGTGAGGGGACTATTTATCCGGAGTCCGGAGGCCTTCCCCTTGGTAGGCCAGATACTGTTTACCTTGGACTGCGCTCCCCCACCCCCCACCCCCAGATGACTGTGGTGTTTACTACTTAGGAGCACCTCATAGCACCTAGGAGCCGCACGGACTGTTCTCCTAGGCTGGCTCCGGCCTCCGGAAGTCTATACATGAAGTTAGGTTCAGTCAAACTCACACACACACACTGTACCATCAAATACTGATGACTTTTCAAGGTGTGTTTACTGTTTACGTTTGGGGCCTTTGTCTCTTTTGTCATGAGAGTCGTTCACAGTCTTCTGGTATATCAGTACAGTCACATCCTGACCACGAGCAATTTCTAGAAAGCTCTGGGAGGAAAGCTCTTTCCAGAAGGCAGGGAGACCTGGCCCACCATGGAGGTGTAGACAAGCACCTACTGTGCGCGCAGCCTCCGGCCTGTCGAGCTGGTTGGTTGACGAGGCGTCGTGGCCTTGAGACACATGCTCCGATTATCTGTCCTTCCCACTGTTTTTTTTCCCGGGGACCGACGGACGGCCCCAGTAAGGTGCCCGTAGACCCCGTGGAAAGCAGAAATGAGCCTGTCTTCCTGACACCAGTTTGCTCGTGTCATGGGCATTCCCTTGCCTCCCTCCCCTGAGCTCCTCCAGTACCCTGAATCTTTGGGGTCCTGCGCTGGAGTTGCATGGGTTCTTCTGTGGAGATTAGATGCAAGGTGCAGAGGTTGGGAATTCAAACAAACAAACAAACAAAAAACAACAGAGGATGTGGGTTAGGAGTACCAGAGAGTGTGACTCCCGTCCTTAATATGCTCAGGGCTCACGGGAATGCCGCCTGCACGGGCGAAAGAGTGAAGTGTGCCCTTCGCCAAGCGCTAGTCGTGGGACGGGCTGAAAACTGGTCTCATTGACAACAGTAACAACAGCAGCAGCTTTGCCACGCAGAACCCTTTCCCACCACAGCGGCCAGCCTCGCCTTATAGATGCAAAAGTCCCCTCCGTGATCCACAACCTGGATAATCTATTTATAGGAACCTTGTGGCCGGTCTGTTAGCAAAGACTCGAGCCCTGGTGGTGATGAATTTGGGCATTTTCCAAATCGTAAGGCAGACTTGGTGTATGGGCAACTGCTAGTTTCATTTGGCAGAAAGGGGAAGCAGAGAGAGGGAGAGAAAAGGGTATCCTCACTGCCCCCAAGCCAGGGCCTAGCTAGAGGCCAGAATCTTCAGGAAGCGCAGGGTCCCTAGAGAGAGGGAGACGCTTCCGTAGCTGAGGAGTTTCAGCACGAGGCAGCCCTACAGCGGGGCTGGCAGCCTGGAGGTGCTGACATGCTCTGAGCCCACCCAGAGCCTGCGAGAGGCAGAGGACTGATGCTGGTGCTAGATGGGGCCTTGGAGGTCACCCAAGTCTGAGCACCTGTTTTACAGATGAAATGGGGGCCCAGAGAGGGGAGATGCCTGCCCACCCAGTGTCGCCCGGGGAGTCCATGTTAGGTAGACCAACAGAGCTCTCATTCTGAGCAATGGAAAGCAACAAGGATGAGCCCAGGGTGCGCGTTCCTCTTTCTTTTCTGGCTGGGCTTGTGATGCTGTTTAAATGTCCTTTTCTTATTTCAAGAATGCGTTCTCTCTCTTAAACAATTAATGCATCCTTGCCAACCTTTTGCCACCGCCGCCTCTTCAAACCCAGAGGAGCTGAGAGTTCCAGGCCAGCCAAGAGAGGTACCTGAGAGGCCCCCAGCCAACGGGCTTAGCTCTCAGGATCAGCCTGAACACGGCAGAGAAGCTTCTGGGGTCTCTGTGCTGCCTCTGGGGGAGAAATGGCCAGAGGCCCCCGCCCTGGTGGTCCCCTGCCATTCCCAGCATCGCCCCATCTGCGAACCATCTTCTCCAACAGGAGGCCCTCAGGAGCCCCACCAGGAGTGGGGACCCAAACCAGGGGCTGGGGTCAAGGGGGGTCTGGCCTTTCCAAAGCCCACCTCCCCCGGATGTCTCCAGATGGAGTCTGGGGTTGTCAAGGTTGTCCAGGAGAGCTGCCCCGGGGAGCCAGGGCACCGTGGAGGTGAGGCCGCCGACCCAGGCACCCTGGGTCTGACAGGCCAACGTGTGTCCTACACACCTGAGGCTGCCATCGAGCCTGACGGCCTCAGGAAGATCACATGCCAGCCTTCGGAGACAGAACCTGAGGACGCAGAGGCAAGTCGCCATGGCTTGGGGCCGCTGGAGCACCAGCTTGTGGGAGACCTGCACAAGGAGGCGCCCCCTCTGAAGGGGGACCATGGCAAAGAGAGGCAGAGGGGCAAGGATGTCGACGAAGACCGCGATGTGGACGAGTCCTCGCCCCAGGACTCCCCTCCCTCCCAGGTCTCCCCAGGTCTTCAGAGCTCCCCCACCCGAGGTGGGCCACCCCCCCACCCCGCAGTTTCCAGAGGAGCCACTGGCTTCCCCAGTTTCCCAGGCGAGGGTGCCATCCACCTCCCTGTCGATTTCCTCTCCGACGTCTCCACAGAGATCAAGGCCTCAGAGCCCCACGGGCCCAGTGCAGGGCCCACGGTGGAACGTCAGGACACGCCCCCCGAGTTCACCTTCCACGTGGAAATCAAAGCCAACGTGCAGAAGGAACAGGGACAGTCAGAGCTGGATTTGGAAGGGACTGCCCTCCCAGGGCCCCCCGGAGAGGAGCAAGAACCCCAGGGCCCTTCTGGGGGAGAGGACACAAAAAAGACTGACCTTCCAGAACCCTCTGGAAAGCAGCCTGCCACTGTTCTGCCAGGGAAGCCTGTCAGCCGGGTCCCTCAACTCAAAGGTCTGTGTCTTGAGCTCCTTCGCTCCTCCCTGGCGACCTCGTGTGGCACCTGGGCTGCGGGCACTGCCACTGAGCTTCCGGCCCCTCCTTGACTCCCGCTGCTTCTGAGGTTCCTCGGGAGAGTCACTGAAGCCGCCCCTCCGGACACTGCCGCTCACCCTCCCGCAGCCGCCTCCTGCTCTCAGGCTCCGGTAGCACGTGCTCCTTTCATGCTTGCCCGCCATGCTGCATGTCACCAACACCCCACCCAGCGCTGTCCACCTTGTCCATTTCTCTGGCCCCCCGAAGGACCCACGATGGTCCATCAGCCCACAGGTGGCTGGTGTGCTGCCCTCCGCAGAGTGGATAACAGCTGGTCTGCTTTTGAGGGCTGATTATGGGCCCTACAGTCATTGTCCAGAACCCTCCCGACCCTTCCAAGAGGGCATAATTAGCCCCACTTTGCACACGAGGATGCGGGCTCAGAGAGATAAAGTCACTGGCTGAAGGTCACCAGGTAGTAAGTGACAGAGCCCTATTCAGAATCCGGGTGGGTCTGCTCTGAAAGTCACACTCTTCCCTGTTCAGCACAGTGCCTTCCAGAAGGTTCTGAAGGGTGCCCTCCACGCCCAGAGACACAAAGGGCATGAGCCTGCCTTCTGCTGCTCTTGTCCGTGGACAACACATCACATGCGGCAGATGACACAGACACGAGTATTTGGGGATAGCCCAGAGCCCAAGCTGAGCCTTCGGCCCAACAGCCCCCCACCCCGTCTGCCCTGTCTTGCAGCAGGGGAGACGACGAGCAAAAACAGAACGTTCCTGTCTGAATCTTCTCTTCCTCCCTTGGGGGAGCCTGGGAACCCCTGTGCTGGGATGGCAGGGGCCTCAGGAGCACAGCAGCCCTTCAGGAGCTGGGGAGGTGGTAGGGGAGGTTCCCCCGTGTTGGCATCTCTGGCAGGAAGACAAGGAGGCCAGCGGAGGCCTCAGGTGCATTCATACATTTAGGACATCCAGTGTGTTGGAATTATTCGCAGGGCTCAGAAATCCCTCACTTGAGTGGCCAATTGCAAACATCTGTTACAGTGTTTTGAGATTTTACTTTCAAGAGAACTTTGAAATGTAGGTAAAGGAACTTTATGTATAAAATTAAGGCCCTGAAAAATTCCTGTACTCTCCTGTTTTAAAATATCCTAAATTCCAAAATAGTAGGAGACAAATAACTGTGACTTGGCAAATTATAATAGTGTTTCCTGAAGTGGTGTTTTATTGAATACTGGCTATTGATAGATGTGTCCAGGGGAAAAGGAGTTCTGTGGTCCAATAAGTTTGGAAAAAAACAGGCAAAGCGAAGTTACGCAAGGTTTGCTGCAGCAGGACTTGTCAGAGCCTTTAATATTCTAATGCACATTAATGCACATTATGACCCTCTGAGAAAGACACAGAGTACAGATTTCCCAAATTTACTTGACCTGACCTGCTAACATCTCCCGGAAGAGGACTTGTTCAGGAGTACCCAATCTGGGAAATGCGTATCTAGCAGATGCTTCTGTTGTGACACGGAGGGTGATGGTTGATTTGAGCAAAAGACGTGAATCGGGTCCACCTGGGGCTCTTATTAAAATGCATATTCGGAGGCCCCACCTTGAGCTTACAGAGTCTCAGGTGGACCCAGGGATCTGTGTTTTCTCAACTCGTCCTAGTGGTTCTGCTGTGTGGGACTGTGTGACAGTGTCTGGGCTAGACCATCAATCCAGGTCACTCCAGAAATCCAGTCTCCCGCAGCCAGCAGGAAGCTCCAGGAGACCCCATTGACCTTTCAGCAGGGGGAGTATGGTACTGAGACCAAGGACGAAAGTCTATAATCAGTCTATAATCAGCAAAGAATGTCACCAGAAGGGAAGGATGAGTGCCTTTCTAGACATGAAAGTCGCCAGCTGTTTGATCCTAAATTCCAGAGATAACCTGTAGAATGTTTGACGATAACTAGTCTTTAGCTAATTTGGGGAATCGACAAGGATTAGTCCCCGTGGGAGGGCCCGTAGATGGCAAGAAGACCCTTCCCGGCTGGTCATGGGTGGACCAGGCTTGTCGAGGGCAGGGCTGCTGGGGCTGGAGACCATAGCCGCCCTCCCCCCAGCCATTAGAGAGGGACAAGATCCAGGAAGACACTTCACTCACCCTGACCCTTGGGGGACAGCACGAGTAAGGGATCCTGCAGGGGGTTGGAGCATAGCTGAGCTGCCCTGGGTGTGCCCAAGGTTCTCCAAATGCCCCTCCTTGGAGTGGGGTTGGTGCCCCCTGGGAGAGGCAGACCCTGGAAGAGACAAGGAAGGAGCCTATGAGAGATGAGGTCTGCACTGTCTGCCTTCCCTGATCACCCCGTCACCCGCGTGTGCCTGGAAGAGTTTTCACTGCGTCCCTGCTGCATGTCCCCACCCTTGGCCAACCTGCTGCCCCCTCTTGTCAGGGTGCGCCAAGCAATGACCCCAGTGTGCTGTGTGGATACTAACAAGGAGAGACAGCAAGGGGGAAAAATATCCGCTGGGTTTCCACCCAGCCCAGCCGAGCAGAACACACTGTACTTATCCCGGGAAATCAGCGCAACCGCATCCAGCTCTTTCCAGGAGCTCTGCAAACAGGTGTAACATACAATCTCATTTTATGTCTTATCAGCTCGCATGGTCAGTAAAGGCAAAGATGGGACTGGACCCGAGGACAAAAAAGCCAAGGTAAGCTGACAAAAACCACAAACCTCCGCCAGCGTCAAATTTATTAAGAAGTCGTGCTTATCTGAATTTTTATATGTAACACGTGGGGAGCTTCTGTCACCGAAGGATGACTGTCATTTAGAAAATGCTTTGTGTTTTCATGCAAACTGTTAAAATTCCAGCATTTATCAACTTTGATGCTTATGCCAGGGAAGGGCGGTCAGCAGGTGAATGAATTCATGCTCCTAATTGCAATTCTGTTAGCGTAGTTGAAACAAGACGTTCATCGTAAACAAAGATACACTTGAATTTTCTGCAATAAAGTTTGAATTTTGCACTTCTTAAACTTGCCACTGCAGATCCAGGCTCAGTGAGCATGTATGCACACATACATACTTAAGGTGTAGAGAAAATACCATTTATTCAGGTGGCTGAGGGAACATTGACCAAGGAAGCGACCTCTAACCTAAGGTGGAGGGTTCTGGGAAAGCCCTAAAAGAGGGGACCTACGAGGCAGATGGGGAAGGAAATGTGAAGGAGAGTTGCTGAGGCAGCACTGGGAACAGCATTTCGAGGAGCAGGAACAGCACAGCAAAGCCCAGACACGTGAAGAAATGATACATGTTCTGAGAATTCTAGGCAGGTGGGTTGGTTGCTGTGGAACTCCAAGTGGTGCCGGTGTGCTGGTGTACGGTGGGAAGGACAGTGGGGGAGGGAAAGCGGATACACGCCTCAAATGCTCAGTGGACAAGTGGGCAGCAGTGCAGTAGACGCCATCTTGAAATCTTGCCAAGGCGCCAGTTTGACACAAGCTTTAGTCAGACGTCAAAAACCAACCTGAGGTATGGTGGATGGAGCCCCTGCTCCCACCAAAAGCGCCTCCAGAATGGTGCGGGCTTTCTCAGTGCTTCCTGTCAGCTGTAGTTTCCTCCCATAATGACTGTGCCTCCTTGAAAATTCTCCTGTAACTGCGCAGTAGAGTTTCCCCAGGAAAATCCCTCTGTGGCGCTAGATGAAGACCTATTTTCTGTAAAGGCATCTAAAATATCCAATATAAATCCTGCCCGGAACACCTGGGTCTGAATCCATCCCAGAGCCCTGGTGGGGTCCTCAGAGGCAGAGGGTAGGTCTAGGAGTTGGGGAGAATGTGTGGTGCCTCCCCTCTAGGAGTTGGGGAGCATGTGTGGTGCCTCCCCTCTAGGAGTTGGGGAGCATGTGTGGTGCCTCCCCTCTAGGAGGTCAGGGTTTGCCATCATAAGACCTGGTGAGGCAGCCCGAGGGTCCTGCGTGGACCTGGGCAGCTGGGCCCTAGGGATGCGAAGCCATGGCAAGAGCTGCTGGCCAGTCGTGCCCCACGTCAGGGGAGTCCCAACCTCAGGCATGCATGTATTCCATTCATTCATTCACGTGCACACATGGGAACAACATCCCTGTCCCGGACAGCGAATGATCTGGTCTTGCACGATCCTGGGCCAGGTAGGGAGTGCCGCCAGCAGAAGGGGGCCTGTGCCTGGGAGAGGAGGAGTACCCACCCCCAACTTTTATCATCACCAGTTCCAAGACCTTAGCCTGGGTCCATCCCCTCACACCTTTCCCCACCCCCTGGGCCCTCCTCCTTGCCGAGGCTGGCCACACAGAGGGCCCCCACCATTTTGGTGGGGTATCTGAGGACAACGAAAAAACAAACCCAAGGTCCTCGCTTGGTAGCTCTGACTCCCTCTTGGAAACACCTCTGGACTAGGCCTCTCGGTCTTAGGCCTGAAGGTGTGACCCCCTTTCTCCTCCTCCCAACACACCCCCTCCACCAGGGCCAGTTAGGACAGACCATGAGTCCCAACCATTGTCCATCACTTTCCCCCTCCTGGAAGGGGCAGCTCCGTCTCTGAGGCCATCCAGCCCCACGCCCTCTTGTTGGGCTACCTCACCCAGGCTCTTTCATTAGGTAGAATGTGTTCAAGACTGAACATTGGCCAGATTAGGATTTAACAGGTAGTGTGAAAGGTTAGTTTTGTTTGAGACTTTAACCAGAAAGTGTGTGTGTGTATGTGTTGTGTGTGTGTGCGTGTGCACATGTAACCTGAGGTATAAGGCAGAATCATTAAGACTTGGGATAGGCGCAATCCTGATGTTAGCAAGTGTGAGACTCTCGATGTGGCAGAAGAAGGCCAAGAGTTAGCAGGCCAGCATGAGTTCCTCAGCTGCAATTTAGCAGAAAGTGGGGCCCTGCTGACCCATGACACCCTGAGGATGTTTTCTTGAAAAACATCCTAAGAATCCTATGCTTTGGCGATCTCCATGAGCTCTTTGGGCGTGAAAAACCTTAAACCAGTAGTCTCCAAAGTGGCAGGGGTGCAGCACAAGAAGATCTAAAGGGCCAAAGAACATTCTAGAACTTCTATCGATTTTTTTCTCCCCACCTTTCTTTTAAAAGATCTGCCATACGTAAGTTTTATGAGGTACATGGTGTGTTGGTATTGTAGCATGTGTATTTAACTGATAAATTACTACCAGGACGTTAAGAGCGTGTAGCCACTTTCGGTCCTTAGGGATCAGAAGGACGGATGAGGGTACACAATCCAGACAGTTTGGAGATCACTGCTTTAAACCATTGCCTGCCTTGTTTATTTTTAGTTGCTGTCCTTTTTCAGTTTGTTCCCCTCCCCCATGTGCTGACTTTTATTTTGATTTTATTTATGTTTGTGTTTAAGACATCCACACCTTCCTCTGCTAAAACCCTGAAACCTAGGCCTTGCCTTAGCCCCAAACGCCCCACTCCTGGTAGCTCAGACCCTTTGATCAAACCCTCCAGCCCTGCTGTGTGCCCAGAGTCATCTTCCTCTCCTAAACACGTCTCTTCTGTCACACCCCGAACTGGCAGTTCTGGAGCAAAGGAGATGAAAGTCAAGGTAAGGAAACCACCTTTGAAAAGAATCAGGCTGTTCAAGTATGGTTTTCAAATGGATGCTGTTTTTAGCCACAAAGACCTTCCTTCAGAGAAACTCTTACCTAGAAGCACCACGTAGAACAGTGAGCTTTCTGGTAAACCGGGACAAGGGGGGGCGTGGCACTATTTCTTTTCCCCCCCCCCCCAGCTGCCCTACCCCCCCGCCACCAAAGACCGGCCCCGGTTTTTTTTTTAAAAAAAAAAAAAAAAAAATCACCGCCCTAACTGGGAGTGCTTCTAGAGCGCCCCCTGTGGGTTGGGTACAGGGCCACCACGCAGAGCCTGTCCTGCAAGGGCTCTCCTGACCCCACCTTGAACCATCTTGTGATCTTTGGTGAATGTCAGTTTCTTTTTTGAGTTTGTGTTATGTGTCAAGGTCAAACCCAGTGACTGTTCCCAGTCAGTAGACGGCTTGCACATCGGCTCTTGACCGTTGGGCACTTTGCTAATTGGCACCAGTGTTCACCCCGCCAAGGGCTCTTAGCGTGCTCAGGAGTCACGGAAGCCTAAGGGTTGTTTGGGACAGAACAGAAGAATGACCTAGCTCTGTTGGTACCCAAGGTCAGGTTCATCAGTGTCCCCCAGGGGCCTCTGGTGAAACCAACCACGATGAGTCCGGTGAATCCCTGTGGAGGGTCGGAGAATGGCTGTCCACACGGGAATGTCCTGCCTGCCCATGAGCCCCAGGCCAGTGATGAGCTTGTTTGTCCTTCTAAGCTCTATGACCTTTTTATAAAACACAACAGCACCCCTCCTGCGGAACGCTCACCTGCGCTCTTCTTCCAGGAGCACTCGGAGGTCAGGGCGCTGGGCGCCTGGGTGGAGCTGGGGGTTCGTGTGCCCGCAAAACCCTGACATCAAGGAAGACGTTTGTGACATCTAGCAGGGAAAGGGTCACCCCAGTCTTAGCCTCGTTTTGAGTCAAGGAGGTTGAGTGGGGCTCACATGGACTGCAGGTGAGTCACCTTTCCCAGAGGTGAACACCACGATACCATGCTTCGGTTGACAGGGGGCAGACGGTAAGACCGGAACGAAGATCGCCACCCCGCGGGGAGCGGCCCCTCCAGGCCAGAAGGGTCAGGCCAACGCCACCAGGATCCCAGCGAAAACCACGCCCTCCCCAAAGACCCCGCCGGGCACCGGTAAGACAAATATTCTCTGGACACTAAGTCAGGGGCAGCTGTCGGTGGGTGCCGTCCTCATCTTGGAAGGCCCCTGGCGGTGGGTCACTGCCGGTCACGGACGGCACACAGATACCTGCAGCTCACTGAGCACCTGAGCGCTCATTTTCTTTCTAAGCCTTTGGACAGTTTTCCAAGGTCGATATTGAATCCCCACTTTTGAGCGATGACGAGATCAAGGCCTTAAAAATGTGCACGTATAAGTCTAAACGACTCACTTCAAGCATGAGGAGAATGCAGGCGTGGGACTAACTAAGCGGCAGGAGAGGGGGTGCTCTGAGTTTCTCTGACCCCAAGCCCGGGTCAGGGGGGTCCCGCGTGGCGGCTCTGTGTCTCTGGAAACAGAGCAGCAGCCCAGTTGGGTCCCCATGGGTGACCTCACACCAGCTGTGGCCCCAGCTCAGCTGGACTTGCTGGAGTGGGCCCTTTGGCAGCCCCGAGCCCTCGGCTGGGCACCTGTGTGCTGCCCTATCCCCCCAGTGCTCCTGAAAGTCAAGCTTAGTTAGTTCTGAGTCCTGAGCAGGCTTCCGTGGAGCAAATCTGCTCCCGGTGGCGCTAGAAAGAATAGTTGCCCTCTTTGGGTTTGAGAGACAGCCCGGCTGAGCTCCTCTCCCTCTACCTCCCCGGGGACCCTGTCCTGGGGGACAGGGACTCAGGGCATCTGGCCTGCCTTGGCTTTGGGGAGGTGCCCAGGATTCTGAGGACTTTGCACAGGCCTAGAGAAGCCGGCACTGATTCTGGGGTCTCTCTGCTGGGCGGGGGGCCCCAGGGGGACAGCTCAGAGCCCTCTATCTTATCTGCATGCGGTGATGTTTGCCTCCTTTGCCCTGGGGTGCTTCCTGCAGGGGTGCTCAGCTCACCAACGCCCCCTGGGTGGCTTGTTCCTGTCGATAATTCATACGGCATAAGGCTAATTCACAGAATTGGGATTGGATTTTATACACGACTCTCATCCTGCTTTTCTTCCCTTGGCATCAAGCCCGTTGACTCACACAACTCACAGCCCTGGGAACGAGAATGTGCCTTTCTCTTTGGGCCTTACCTGCATTTGGGTGGCAGCTTGTGGGTGGGACTGACCTCTGTGGGCCACCTCGACCTGTGTCCTGCCACCGGGAGGGGTCGGGACCCCTGCTCCCCGAACACACTCCTTGCCTCGCTCGGCTCTGCTCCACAGCCTGGCTGGTGCCTGCAGCATGATTGACGATTTCACGGAGGCCCCGTTTAAGCTTGGTTATAATGAGGCTCCCTGTGGATTTTTCTTTTTAAGCTACCAAGCAAGTGCAGAGAAAACCACCCCCTGCGGGGGCCAAATCCGAGCGAGGTAATTCGGGGGCTGCTTCTCTCCGTGGGCGCTCGCTGTTCGTGCGTGGCTGTCCGTTGGCCTAGGTTTTGAGAGCGGAGATGACCTGCTTCTTGAACCTGAACATGGAACCCTCCGAATTCCTGCTCCGCGTTTTGTGGCTTAAGCAGATGCATTGGTCTGATGGACCTTTCTGTTTGCGTGTGTTCTCAGGAGCCTGCGCCGAGGCTCTGGGGGTGCAGGAAGCACGGACATGTGAAGTTCCCACTGACATTTATTAATGAGGGCTGTGAACGCTGCCCTCCACACTGGATGCTTGCCCTCAGGTCAGCCCTGTGAGCTGTGGCCACTCTCCCCGTGGTCCAGATGAGGATGCAGCCTTAGGAGGCTGAGGGGCTCATCCAGGGTCAGTCTGCCATTAAGTGGCACGGAAGGGATTTGCAGCCACCCCCCAAGTCGCAGTGGTCAGCCTTTGTGCCTGGAGGCAGGAGCAGGGGTGCGGGGGGCTGAGCCTGGGGCGGGGGGCTGAGCCTGGCGCGGAGGCCCTGTCCGTCATTTCTCCGATGTGGAAAAGGAGGAAAAGCTTGGTTTGTCCCGTTGCCACAGAGCTTGATGACCTTAGGGACGTCCCACAGACGTGGAAACTCAAACTAAAAATGGCAGGACTTCCCCTTCTTCCTGATGAGAGAAATTGCCTTTTCGCTGCTGCCCCGCACTTCCAGCCAAGAGCTGCCCTTCTCCAGGGTGGGGTCTGCAGGTCCTGGTTTGGGACACATGGTTCCCAGAGCAGGGGCTGTATCTTGGGGAGAGAGCAGCCCCAGCAGCTTCCTCGCAGTGGGGAAATGTGCATGGATCACCGTGCATCGGCGTAGGGGGCAGGGAGTTCTTGGAGAGGGCAGGGCAGGGCAGGCAGCACAAGGTGGCATGGCTTGTCGGGAGAGCTGGGGACAGGGGCACACAGGGCAGGCGTCCTGTTCTGGAGCCCACGTACCGCAGAGGGGTTGGGGAGGCTGCACAGGGCCTGCTGCGAAAGGGGCCTGGAACTTGCTGAAAGGGTCTAATAGAGCCAGACAAGGGTGGCCCCTGGTCCTGTCACCATGTCACCCCTATTCAAGGAAAAGCCACAGAGGATGGCACTAGAGTTTTTCAGAGCACATCTGCATGCATCTGTGCCAGGCCTCCCTCCCCACGGGCATGGTCGTTATTCCCACGTTCCAGCTGGGGCGCGGAAACTCGGAGAGGGAAGGTGACTTGTCTGAGACCACACAGCTAGCTGGACCTAGTCTCTTGATGCCAGAGCCATGGCGCAGAGCTGGTCCCTTCTGGAAAGGGTACCCGCCGGTCCTTGGTGACGGCGCGGTTTTCCCCCTGGGAGACAGGGGGTCTCTGTCCCTACGAGACAAGGCCTGGAAGAAGAGAGAAAGCTCTAGAAATGAGGTCAAGGGCAGCCTCCTGCTGGCTCAGTGCAACCTCCCACCTCGTTCCCACCTGCCTAATCAGCCCTGGGTCCGAGAGTGGGCCCTCGGGACAGGCAGCCCCCAGGGTCTTTTCTGCCTCCCCCCACCCCACCCCAAGCGCGGGCCTCACCGCCTCCTGTCTCTCCAGGTGAATCGGGGAAATCCGGGGATCGTAGCGGCTACAGCAGCCCCGGCTCCCCAGGCACTCCTGGCAGCCGCTCCCGCACCCCATCCCTGCCAACCCCGCCCACCCGGGAGCCCAAGAAGGTGGCTGTGGTCCGCACTCCACCCAAGTCGCCGTCTTCGGCCAAGAGCCGCCTGCAGACCGCCCCCGTCCCCATGCCAGACCTGAAGAATGTCAGATCCAAGATTGGCTCCACGGAAAACCTGAAACACCAGCCAGGAGGCGGGAAGGTAAGGGCGCGCGGGCAGGGGCTGGCCCCAGGACGCCGGCGGCAGAGGCGGGCAATGCCCCTGCCCACACCCTCCCCTCACACCCCGGTCCCTCCCGATCTCTTCAAGGAAAGGCAGCTCTGGCTCAGTTCTGTGTTGGGGTCACCACCACACTGTGAGTGCCCTGCTCAGGGGACAGAAAGCACTGGTTCTTTCCTTCCCTGTGTGAGCCCCTGCTGACCGGACAGTCCCTCTGATTATGAGGTTGGTTGTGTCTCTGTGACCTGGGGGCACCCACAGAGGTTCCCCATCCTGTCTCGTGTTTAGAACATGACACGACCAATCTGTAGGTGAGTCTCTCTGGCATTCGTTGGACATTTCTCTAAGTTAACGTTCTCTCTAATCCTCAATTCTGGGGGAATCTGGGGTGCCCTTTTGAACAACTGGTTCTTTGGGGCACGTGGGCACTCATGAAACCTTTGGTTTCCCTAATGGTGGAGAAACGTGAACTTCCAAAGGCCTAAGGTGGTGGGAGGTGGGGACTGACCTGGACCCCCAGCTCCTCCTCCTCTTGTCCCCTGCCCCCCATTGTAGAAGCTTTGTAGAAGCTTCCCAAGGCTGACATAGAGAAGACCACAGGCGGGGCAGCTCATGTAACAGAAGTGTATTTCCTCACTGTTCTGGAGGCCAGAAGGCCAAGATCAGGGTATTGGCAGGGCTGGGTTTTTTTGTTTTGTTTTGTTTTGTTTTTTGAGGTCCCTCTGCTTGGCGTGTAGATGGCAGCCTTCTTGTGTCTCACGTGGGCTTTTCTCTGGGTGCCTCTCTGTCCTAGTCTCCCCTTCCTAGAAGGACCCTGTCATACTAGATGGAGGCCCAGCTCGTGAAAGGCCCTATCTCCAAATGCGGTCCCATTCTGAGGCACTGGGAGTTAAGACATCAGCATATGAATTTGGGGGGACACAGCGCAACCCTAAACAGCCTGCCGCCCACCCCGTACTGGTAGTGGGGGTGGGGAAGGGAGAAGAGGTGGCTTGTGTACGGGGGACCAGGACTCAGCTGTTGGGAGCACTGATGGTTGGGCCTCCTGGGCTTGGGCCGTCTGGGCACCCGTGATCCTCCTGCTGTGCTGGGGGGATGTTACAGAACCCAGAGCCAGCATTTCCCTTTTCAATCAGAGCCACTGGTCTCCCCCCACAGCGTGGGCCATTGGCACTATTGATGTCCCTCTTGGCTGGGACCTGGGTCACCATGAAGGGAGGGTGTCTCAGGGCTTTCTGTCTATGTTGGTGCCTTAACTGAAACCCTGAGCTTTGCTCCCTGCGGAGCTTCAGGGCCTCCCCCCCAGCCTCCCCCATCCTTGGGGTCCCAAAGAGTCCTGCCCAGCTGGGAGGTCTGGGTGCGTCTCCGGGTAGAGCCCCAGGGCTCATGGCCACTGGTCTGTGGTCCCCGGGGTTGGCGCTAGACCCATGTTTATTTTTCTGTGGTGTTTGCCTTGGCTGTGCCTTGTAAAGATGCCTGCATCCTTCCAGAAGGGGCTCTGGGGCAGCTGGGGTGTTCTCTTGAAGTTGACCCCTCTGTGAAGCTTTATAGACAGAGGGTTGACGAGGGGATGGGTTGTTCCCATGGGTGTCTGCACATCTCCCTCAGTGCCATGAGTGTCCCGCGTGTGCCGTTTCCATAGCATAGAGGGACCGCTGGCCCCTCGTGGTGGAAAAGGGAAAACAACCCCTCTCCCCACAGCCAGCTCTGCACCTATGAGAAGATTGTGGGGCTGCGACCAGTGTCTCAGGACAACAATGACTGCAAGAGAGAAACTCACCATCAGCAAACTGCCCCCCGCCCGCCGCCTGCGGGCTATCACACACCAGCAAACACCCACCTCTTCCTGCCAGCCCCAGCCACACCCCCATCAGCCCAGGCTGCACCCCCCCAAGCCCTGAGTTCCTCTAAGGTTGGCACGGAAAGCGTGGGCGTCCCTGGCTCTGTTCCAACAGTTCGGCACAGACCCCAGTGCCAGGGTGGAGCATTTCCCACTGAGGACCCTTCCGGGGCCAGAATCTGCCCTTTGCACCCAGAGCTGCCCACCTGTGGGGGAGGAGTCCGGATGGGGGCAGCGACCTGAGGCTCTGAGTGGCCCAGTCCCCCCTCCTTAAGACCTCACCGTGCTGGGCGCAGACCTATGGCCTCACAATACTGGAGGGGTTCAAGGGGAGAAGAACACTTTATCTGGGGCTCCGTGGGGTAGGACTCAGGGAAGTGGCCTAGGGAGGGGGAGGAGGAACAGCTTCCCTTAAATCCCATGGAGAACCTAGAAAATTGTTGGAAACAAAGAAAACCTCAGCCATAACGAAGAGGAACACTAATCTCTAGGGAAAACGAGGAGCCAGGAAACAGGAAAGAAGGCACATGGGATCCGTGGGGATGGCTTTCAAAACGCCTGGACTAAAGGTTTCCGGAGCTTTCCTTGAGATCGTTGGGGCCCTGGGGCCTCCCGTGGGGCCTGCCAGACGGTAAGGGCTCAGTGGGAGCCTATTTCGACCGCAAAAGGGCCAGCACTGTGAGTCTGACGAGTACTGTGACCCCCTGCATAGGTGGTCCCCTGAAGGAGGAGAAGCAAGAGGGTCCAGTTTGAAAAACCTGCAGAGACTGAAAATACCCAGGATCGACATAGACTGGGGGAAAAAAATGTAAAACATCTGTGTTCTGCTTTGTACTTTGCTCTGTTTTCATGATTTGCTACTATGAGCAGGTGTTGCTTGAAGATTCCAGAACAGAATTATTTTTAAAGGAAAATAAAGATAGTCACTTGGCCACTTGAACAGAATCAGCTGAATCCACCAAAGGCTGGGGGAGAAGGCAAGGCAGGCCAGCACCGCAGACCCCTGTGCCTGCTCCCGGGGGCAGTGGCTCTCCTTCCCCTGAGAATCGGGTGGGGGCTTGGTGGAGGGAGGTAGGAGATTCTTGTAAAAATCCTAGTGCCACAGCCTTCCCCACGCCCATTAGACTCTCCCAGGGAGCCTCCCCAGGTGGTCTCAATGTGCAGTCCCTGCTGAGACCTGGATTCTCACCTGCTGGCTCTGACCTCGACCCCTCCTAGGGTCTCCTGTGCTTCGCAGATCTGAGGACTGAGCACAGAGGGAACCACAGGGGTTCCAGGGACCATCCAGAGTGGGAGAGAGATGGAGCTCACTTGGGGCCAAGGCCTCCTGGTCAGAACTGGGGCGGAGCCTATGGCTCTGAGGATGTCCAGAGCAGTCCTGCAATGCTAGGGCCCCAGGCAGGACAGAAACCAACCGAGAGAGCCAAAGGGTTTCCCCTCCGTCCTCCAGAGCTTTGGGCTGCAATATTCCAGGTGGCCACAGGATGGCAGCAGAACGCTGTGTCTGTCTCCACGTGGGATCACTGAAGACTGTATTTTTAAAATTTGTTATATTTAGCAACAGGGTCCCAGTTCTCTGGTAAAAAGCACACAGAACATTTACGTGAAGTCAGTTAAGTCCGTTTGTACCTGGGATAGCCTGCCTCTCCTGGATCAGGGCCAGGGATTCAGCTGAACCTGAGCTGAGGGGCCTGGCCCTGCAGAACCAGGCTGGGACCCTTCCCTGGGACAGCCCTGTAACTCCCAGGCCCTCCGGGCACCTCTCCCTGTGCACAGCATCTGTATCTCTCAACAACCTTGTGTAAATCCCATCATATTAAAGATGCACCCCGTACATCGACTCTAGGGGTGCCAGGCTGGGCCCAGCCAGCACTAGGCCGTGTTGGAGACAGGCTTTGCCAGGGACAACTGGTGGACACTGGGCCAGACTGGGAGCTCCTGGGGGGAGGCCTGGGCTATCTGGAGCATCTTGAGAGCTCTGAGCCCGCACTGAGTCAGATCAAGGCCTGGGGAGCATTTGGCACAGCTTCAGGTCCTCAAGGAAATGGACAAAACCAAAGGGAGCTTCTCTTCCTGCCCGCCCCACCTCAGCCTCTCCTCCCGCTCAACCCTGACTGCAGGAATTTCTCCCTTGACTGTGAGTCCCCTGAATCAAAGTTTGGAGATTTGAAAACATTGTTCTTTCCTTTGATGAGGATTCTCAGTGTCTGCCCAGAGCCGAGGCTTAACATCCTACATGTTGCTGTAGCCGAGAAATTAAGTTTCTGGATTTCAGTTTCATAAATTCAACCCTTTTAGCTCCCTTCTGAAAATCTAACACTTCATAATGGGTGTTGACTTAGTTTGACGACTAACAGTAATTCAGGTCTTCTTTGTAAATATCCTTATGTCTACTGCCAAATCCCACACACACAAAAAAAGTTGCCCTTTTTGTGGGATTGGAACGAGAAGAAGCCACATTAAAAAAAAAAAAAAAAAAAGTCTATGTACGTTGCAGATCTTGTTGCTTAATATCGCTAACTTCATTTGGTGAATTTCTTAAATGGATTAGTTCAGAAAACAAGGTTATCTTTGTTGCAAAACTGGTAAGTTTTCTTTGTCAGATAAGGAGGGTTATGGAGCTCCTCATGGTCCCTGTTTTGCCTTGACTCAGAGTTCAAGGTAGTTAGTGATCCGTCTCATCGTCAGTCTTGAGGACCTCTCCTCCTTTGACTATTACCCTTTTAATTTTGTTGTATTAGTACTTTGTGTGTTTGTGTGTGTGTGTTTTCTAATACTAGACAGCCCCAGTGCCTTTTGTGAAAGCGAGCAAGTCTGCTTCTGGGACTTAACCTGTGGAAAGGGAGGAGCAAACCATGATGTAAACCCTTCTGTGGGGACAGAAGGTGTTCGGGTCCCACTCCTTAAATCTTAAAATCTGAGGGTGGCATGAGCTAATTCAGAGACGCTGTGCCGAGGGGCGGCAGCGAGTCCTTGAGAAGCTGTGTGAGAAACCCTGTTCCGCTTGCTGTTCCCGCTCCTGCCCGGGCTGAGCCCTACATCTCCTCCCCGGCAGGAGAGAGGGTCCCAGAGAGAGGGTCGTTGGTACTTGGTGTTTGAGACACCCAGCTCGAGGACAGCTGGGGTGAAGTGTTGTTGTCACGTAGGTAGCCTGTAGTGAGGTCTTGATGTGAGAAGGTCGCTGAACCCCTCGGGACCTCAGATGGTCTCCTCATCACCAAGTTAGGGGCATGGCAGGTGAGGAAGATGACGTGGAATTAGATATTTACCCAACCGCTAAATGAGGAGTGGTTTTTACATTTAAAAACCAGAGAAGAGGGGCACCTGGGTGGCTCAGTCAGTCAAACATCTGACTTTTGATGTTGCCTCAGGTCATGGTCTGAGGGTCATGAGATCGAGCCCTGTGTTGGGCTCCAGGTTGGACAGGGAGCCTGCTTCCGATTCTCTCTCCCCCTCTCTTAAAAAATAAGTAAGTAGGGGCACCTGGGTGGCTCAGCGGGTTGACCTCCGCCTTCAGCTCAGGTCATGATCTCAGGGTCCTGGGATCGAGCCCTGCATCAGACTCTCTGCTCAGCAGCGAGCCTGCTTCCCCCTCCTCTCTGCCTCTCTGCCTGCTTGTGATCTCTATCAAAAAAATAAATAAAATCCTTAAAAAAAATAAAAAACAGAAGAAATGACAAAGCCTAAATTTATAAACATTTGTAGAAAAATATACACCTACCAGCAAAAAGGGGGCAAAGGGACAACTTCATAATAATAATTTTTTTTAAATGCAGAATAAACCAAAAATGCAGTCCCATTTATATTAGTCAAAGAAAGCAAACCAAGTCTTCAAGTGTCCGACACTGGCAGTTGTGTGGCAAAACTGACTTTTTCCATGGTGCTCATGGGGTAAATTAATCCGACACTTTTAGAAAGCCTCTTGGAGAGTTATTCTGAGAATTTTTAGAATATTTATAACTTTGACCCAGAAATTCTTCTTCTGGGACTCTGCTATGAAAATAATCCATCCTATGGAAAGAACTCCTTGCAGAAAGATGTTCGTGGTGAAACTGTTTTGGTCATTTAAAATAAATATCTGGTCACACAGATGTCACAAAATGGAATATGACATATTTAAAATAATGTTTTTCATAACTGTAGACAAATGCTTAGAAGGTGATGCTACTTATGTAAATAAGACCCTTTAAATGTAGTTTTATTTATAGATCTGTGACTTCAAGGGAACAGAATGAAAAGTTGATTGTTATTGGGTTAGGGTAATGAGAAAACTGTTTGTTTTTTTGTTTTTTTTGTTTTTTTTAACCTGTTTTTCAAAATCATAATGTTTTGTTACTTTTCTAATGAAAAGAAAAACAAAACATAGCTTTTTATTTTAAAGAAACATAGAAGAGAATGAAAAAGTGGGCAGATGCGTGCTTACCGGGTGTTTAGAACTGGACCAGTAAGGTTAGGGGAAAAAACGGGATGGGGTCCAAGAGAAGCTTACTCTGTTTTTATTTTGTCAGGCTAAGGACATCTAAAAATGATAAACATGATCTGCTACCACTGTAATTTAATAACTAATAATTTAATAAAGGAAAGGCCATTTGAACACCAAAAAATAGGATGGGCAGATTTTGCCATTGTGTCCTGGTTTCCTCGTTTTGAGGAGGACCTTGAGGGCTGGCTCTGGCTCTGGGGTCAGGGTGTTGGGACCCTTCTCCCCTGAAAAGCCAGGCCGGGACTCTGCAACACCCTGCCCCCCGACCCCCCCCCCCCCCCCCCCCGGCCACAGCCACCCTCTCGGGTCCCAAGTCCCCGGAGCAGCGGCCCCAGCCTGGCTGACGTTCCCAAAGGCCACAATGAAGAGGTTGGTGCCATTTCATGAATTCCAGAGAGCAACTGGTTCTTACTGGGGAGCTCCCGCTCGCCAGCTGGTGGCTGTTCTCTGCGCAGAACAGAGGCAAAGGGAACCAGAAGAGAAGCACACGGTTTCCCAGCAGGGAGTGAGCCAGGGATGAAGATGTTACCACCGCTCTGGCCCACCAGATTCTCCTCTCTGCCACGGTTGTCGGTGTATTTTAGTTTTTAGACAAATTGAGTAAAAATCAGTCACCACTGAAATGGTGGTGTCTCGTACAAAGGGAGGCCGGGATTTGTCTCTCTCCGCAGAGCCCTCTTTGTCCTCCCTGCGATTCTCACACCTAGCTGAGCGTCCCAACGAAACCCCGGGCGAGCTTTCCAGAAGCACAGAGACCAAGATGCTAATTCTAGGTCCGGGTGGGGTAAAAAAAAAATCTGCAGGTGATTCCAGTGCCTCCCAGCCTTGAGGACAGGCACAGAGAGTTCTCGAGAATGTTCAGGCAGGCCTGGTGGGTGTGTGAATGAGGACACGGATGGGACTTTGTTTCTCTTTTATTTATTCATTCAGTCACATAATTGAGCACATCTCACTCCATCCCAGCCTGGAGGACACTGGGCTGGGGTTTATAGGTCTCCGACGTGCTGGGGGGGATGCGAATCACCTCCAGGTGGACGTGCTTTCTAGGCCCAGCGTTGCCAGGTGGAGCCCAGCACAGTTCTGGAAAGCCTTCCCGGGGCAGCTCCCCTGGGAAGGCCTGACTCAGGCCTCCTGCCCTCAGCCTGGCGCCGCCTCTCCCCACCACGGCCCCGGAGCCGGCGGGGGGAGGACGGTAGCACCGGCGGGGGGTGCTGGGCGTGGTGTGTCACTCATCCTTTTCTCTGGCTATCAAAGGTGCAGATAATTAATAAGAAGCTGGATCTTAGCAACGTCCAGTCCAAGTGTGGCTCAAAGGATAATATCAAACACGTGCCAGGAGGCGGCAGTGTGAGTACTTTCACACTTTCCCCGCACCCCACTGCCGTTTGTAAGAGGCAGCGTGGGTGTAGACGCTCGCGAGACATTGCAGAGAATAAACCATCCCCCGGTTCAGGGTCAGCCTGTGTCCCCGGTACCCGTGGCCCGGGCTCCCCACACTGTGCCCACTGTTCTGGGGGGCCTGGGCCGCCCCAGCACTGGTGCAGGCTGCCGGGGCGGTAAAGGGCAGATGACCCAGCCCCTCTCTGTCCCAGACCAGAGACCGGGTCCTTACCCTGTAACACCCCGGGGCGGGGGGCACCACCCACCATCCAGCACGGGTCCCTGGACGCCCCACAGCCTGCGGGAGGTTGGGCCAAAGGTGGTGGCACCCAAGTCTGGGCTCGGTCCCCTCCTCCCCTGTGACGGTGGCAGGTTCACCTTGACAGCCCCGGGGACAGCTGACCTGCTTGGGCTGACAAGTCGATGCAGCGTCTTCCTGTCCTGCCTCGGGCCACAAGACGTGCGTCTAGTCTCTGTTAATGTTTGCACCTCGCATTTGCAAGGGATGAGCAGGTCCCCAAGCCTGGGCCCCGGCTACAAACAGCCCCACCCCTGGCTGAGCCATCAGGTGTAAAAGAGCAGAAAAACGTGCCCCAGGGGACCCTGCCTGAGGCGGGCAGGCGTTGCCAGAAAAACACCGCTTTGCACCCTTTTAAGTTTGGCTTCCTCCAAATGTCCTGGGGGCACCGCAGTCCCCAGTGGGTGAGGGCCTGAGATCTGGGGCTGGCATCCTCACTGCTCACCCACCCAGTCAGTCAACTCTGCGGACCCCCTCCAGCCTCTCGGTGGCCACACACAGTAGGGGCATCCGGAGGAAGGGCACCCCTTCTCCCCGGCCCCCTCCCCTGCCTCTGGGTTGGCTGGCAGCCAACCTTTAAACCCATCTCAGTGGGAGGCCCAAGCCCCTTTGAGGTCCCCCCTCCCCGGGTGGGGGGACAGTTCCGAGAGCAGGTATCTCACTCTGGGCTGGTGGAGCCTGGGGGATGGTGGTAGCCCCTGGCCAGCTCTCTCTCCAGAACATACCCAGCCCGGGCCGCACCCCTGTGTCCAGCAAACCGCCCCCCCCACCCCGAGGTTTATTCTTGCAATGTGCCGCTGTCCCCACACTGAGCACCCGGACCCCGCCGCTGGTCCGGGACTAGCGTGTGCTTCCCACCGCTGCTGCATGACGCTTCAGTAACGCTTCCTCACCGGTGTCTGCTCCGTGTCCCCTCTCTGTCCCTGGTCCTTGCGCTCCGGTCCCATTGCTCCCAGAAGCCAAAGGATGGTGTGGGGACTGCCCACGCCCCTGGGCTCCAGGTGGCAGATTTGACTCCTGGATTGCTGGCGTTGCTGCAGACGTGGGCTCTGGCCCGGGGAGGAAGGCTCTCTGGTGTGACACGAGTCTGGTCAGCTGGTGGCGGGTGTGCGGGGACAGCCAAGGCTGTGGGGTCCAGGGGGCCGCAGACAGCAGACCGCTCCTCCGGGCGTGAGTTCTGGGGAGACTGTAGCTTCCCACAGCAGCTGGCCGTGCCCAGGACCTCAGGGGCCTTGCTGGGGGGCACCCCCTGTCTGACCTGCGCTCTCTGCCCGCCTGCGGCTCACCTGTAGGAGCTGGCAGAGAGCCCAGGACTTCTCAGGCTGGCCCTGAGCACTGGTTTGTGGTAAGGGCTTCACAGAAATCTCTTCTCCTGGTGGACGGTGGCTGGGGGGCTCCAAGCAGCTTCCTGTGTTCTGGGGGCGCTAGACGGCTGGCCCGGGCCCCCACCTCTGGCCGGCTGCCCTCCCTTCCCGAGCCTGGTGGTGACTTCCCAGCAGGCAGACCCCGCTCCTTGTCCATGTCGGGACCCTCCCCACCTCCTGGCTGGCTCTGGACTCCTCTCCCAGGCCTGGCCTCCTCCCTCTCTTGGCCTCCAGTCTGCCTGGCCTGGCCTCCTGCCCTCAAGCAGTCCTTTCCCTCTGCCCGTCCAGGTTCCTCTGCCTCCCTGCCCCCCTGTTCCCTGGTCCAGGCCGGGAGGAGCTCCTTCCCAGCCCCTCGGCACCCCGTGCAGCACGCGCCGTCTCCCAGACCTGACTCCCTCAGAATCGTTCCTTCCTCCCCGGGCTCACCCTCCCAGGTGTGGCTGCCACCCTGTGCCCCCCCCCAGCCTCACTCCACACACCCCACACAAGCCAGGGGCACCTGTCAGCCCCGCTCAACTCGCCATCAATAAATGGCAAATGCCAACACGATTTTCATTCACGAAAATAATTTGGAATCATTCCAGATGATTTAGACAGAAGTAGATCTTTTTTTTTTCTGGTTCTCTGGCTCCAGGCCATCTCTCACCTGGGTCACCCCAGGGGCAAAGAGTGGGAGGCAACTCCTCACTCCATGGTGACTGGCCTTTTGTACCCACAGGTGACCTCACACTGGTGGCTGCTGGCAGCTTTAGGAAGTGTCCATCAGTGACCATCCAGGGATCCCCCCTCCCCCGCCATGGCTATTGGGGGTGCTGTGGGCGTGTCCCCTCCAGGGAACTGTGCCTTGGGCTGGGACTGGTGGCTCACTCAGGGGCTGTCACCCCCTCTGGAGGGCAGGCCACATGCTGGGCCCTCAGCTGGTTCTGAGGAGCCCTGAGGCCTCCCCTACCTGTGTGTGTCCCAGCGGGTTGTTCTGTGCCGCCTGGCCATCTCCTATCGCTTTGCTCCCTGGGCTACAGAACCCAAATGTCCAGGACACTGTGTGCCCAGGTGCCGGCCAGCTCTGGGTCCTGCCTACTGACTGTCAACGCTCCCGCTTCGGTGCTGGGATTTGTGGGAGGCTGTCTTGGGAGCAAGCCCCCCCCACCGAGCCTGCTCTGCCCACTCCTCTCTGAGGCCCAGCCACCAGCAGACCCAGCCACCAGCAGACCCTTGCTTTTGCAACAAGATTTTCTTTTTTTTTTTTTTTAAGATTTTTTTTTTAATTTATTTGACAGAGAGATCACAAGTAGGCAGAGAGGTAGGCAGATAGAAATGGGGAAGCAGGCTCCCTGCTGAGCAGAGAACCCAACATGGGGCTCGATCCCAGGACCCTGAGATCATGACCTGAGCTGAAGGCAAAGGCTGAACCCTCTGAGCCACCCAGGCGCCCCTGCAACAAGATTTTCTAAATGTCACACACACGGATCGTGCAGATCCCTTCTGCTTTGTCCCCACTTACTGTGGTGTCTGTGTCACGTCAGGGAAGAGTGACTCTTTGAAACCAGCGGTGTGGGCTCTGCCCCGTGACAGAGGCTCCCTGTGTCCCCCTGAGGGACGAGGGCACTCCGGTCCCACTGTTATTTTGTGAAGACATGGCTCCTCCCGCGTGGGGCAGGGTTGGCAGAAGTCCGAAGATGCAGCTTCCCACCATGATGAGGGGTGTGTTCCTCGGGGCTCCAGGAAGCATGGTCCCAGCAGGGCCCGATCTGCCCGACTCAGCTGCTTCTCAGGGTGTGCTGCCCACAGTGAAATCATCCCGTTTTATTCTTTGTCTCTCGCTCATCGTCTCTCACTCCAGGTGCAGATAGTGTACAAGCCAGTGGACCTGAGCAAGGTGACCTCCAAGTGCGGCTCGTTAGGCAACATCCATCATAAGCCAGGTAGCCCCTGCAGAAGGCAGAAAGGTCGGGGATGGGGACAGGACCGGCTGTGGAGGGGGGGGGCTTCTCCTGAAGTGGCTGGGAGGGATGGAGGGGATGGGCTGGCCAGGGGGGCATTGGAAGTGGAACTTGCTGGGCCCCAGGAGGGGCGGCTGCCCTGTCTCGCTCCTGCACGGGGTGCTGTGCTGGCCAAGGCAACGCGAGGAGGGAGGGCAGAGGCTGGTCCTGAACCCCAGCTCGTGGTTCTCTGAACAGGTGCACATAGGGCCTCTGGAGCTGGGGGAGGGCCTGATCTGGCTCCCGGAGGGTGGCTTGTTTGGTCCCCAGCCCACGTGGGGGGCCACTTCACCAGCCATTGCCATGCTCCCGCTGTGACTCTGTTTCAACAGAAAGTACTGTTGGGGCTCTGCCATGCTTGCCTTTCTCCTCCCCGTCCCACACCATGTAGAAGCCAGAGTTAGTAGCCGTAGATCTCTCTGCGATGGTGGGACTGTTCTAGACCTGCTCTGTCCTGTATGGTAGCCACCAACCACGTGTGGCTGTTGAGCCCTGGAAACGTGGCTAGTGCATTTGACGAAATGAACAATTTTTTAAAATTAAAATATAAGTAGCTACACGTGGCCGATGGCTATCATCTTGCCCAGCGCTGATGTAGACTCTAACTCCTGCCTGGGAGTCCAGAGTGAGGGCTTCTGCCTTAAGCCCGATTCAGAGGGGCATCATTGCTTGAAGCGTTCCCATGGGGAGGGAAGGCCGGCAGACACGTGGTCTGGACTGTGTCGCATCGGTTTCTGGCTTCCCTGGGACATGCCGTGGGGGTTTCGTCTCTCCTGCTGAAACCCATTCCTCGCCTGGGGCCACCATCCTCCCATGCTGGGAGCAGCTTTCTCAAGTGGCTTTATCCTTTCTCCAGAAAGGAATGGCATTCGTCACTTCCCCAGGCCGTGTCCCCCATGCTTGGGCTCAGCCCTGAGCATCTGAGGAAAGAGAAGGGTCCGGGCCCTGGTTCGGTTAGAATGCATTTCGCCATTTAGTTTCATTCAGAGCTTGTGCCTTTCGGGACGTTGGCATAGAAAGACTTCACTCTCTGCAAGCTCAGAGTCCGGAACTGTTCCTCCCGGACTAAGCTGTCCGTGACCTGTGCGGTAACAAAGGAGGAAGCGTTTGTTGAGCGAATATTGGATGCCCATCGTGATGAGAGAAATGCAGCAAGCTGTCCTCAGGCCCTTTGGAAGGGCTTACCTGGGCCCCAAGCACCTTCTAAATGAAGGGTAGTCCTACCCCCTCGGAGAGGCGGGCGTCTCCCCAGCATCACGAGCTCTGCCCTCCTTCAAGGCGCCGTGCCCCATGTGCCTTGTTTCAGGAGGCGGCCAGGTGGAAGTCAAGTCGGAGAAGCTGGACTTCAAGGACAGAGTCCAGTCGAAGATTGGGTCCCTGGACAACATTACCCATGTCCCTGGCGGAGGGAATAAAAAGGTAAGCGGGCAGGGCAGGGAGGAGGCTGCACCTGGATATGGCCGTGAACGCTTTCGCAGCCTGGTCCTGTTCTCCAGAGGAGGAAAGCCGAGGGGCCTGTCTTGGCTTGATGGGGATTCTCAGCAGGACCGTGATTGCCAGATTTGATGTCCCCCCGCCCTCCCCCCAGACTCTGATGGGTCTCAGGGGCCACCTGGGCACCTGGAGTTTCGAAAGCTCCCAGGGGATTTGTCCGTGCCCTTGAAGGTGAGAGCCGCTGTGCTCGGTGACAGCAGTCGGCCGGTGGCTGGCAAGCATCCGCGCAAGGAGGCAGCGGCCCCAGAGCCCGCCCCAGCGCACCACAAACAAGTCATAACCTAATTTTCTAAATGGGTCACTAGGCAGCTAGAGCAAAACAATGCTGCTGAAATCCAGGTTCCTGCAGAGCACCTGCCTGTCTGGCACAGAAACGTCCGCGGGGAGGCTGCTGGCCCGAGATCTCGGCGATCCCCGCAGTTTCTCGAGTCTCGGGGACTCACTGTGTGAGCACGGGGGAGGGGGACACGAGGATGCGTGTGGCCCTGAGCAGGCTTCTGCTGGGGGCGTCACAGGATATGGGCTCGTGGCTGCCCTTTTCCTCTTTTGCAGAAATGCAGCCAAAACGCCCTCTGGGGTGTTCCCACGCATGCCTGCCTTGAAGTTCTGGAAACGGCTCTTCTACCAGTTTATAGCGCCTCCCAGCACTGACAGAGCTGTGGGGGGAGGAGATGGGGGGGGTTCCAGAATGGGCACAGACTCTGAGACCTAGCCCAGCATTGAGAAAGTGTGCTGCCCAAGGTGGCCTGGCTGGTTGGACATGGCAGCCGGCACAGCACGCTGGGCTGGGTGGCAGCCGGGAATCGGCTGGGCCAATCGCCCCCCACCCCCGCCCCTCATCCCCCGTGCCTCCTGGGTCAGCACCGGGCCTTCTCGATAGACACACCCCATGTTGTGTCTGAGGGGAAGGCCCAATGGTACAGTTTTGTAGAAGCACCTCCTGGGATGGTCTTAAAGCAGAGGCTGCAAACTCAGGCCTGCCCCTCCCTGGGTTAAGGCCTTGGTGACTCCCTGGCTGAGGGAAGGTCTCTGCCCACCCCTGGAAGTTTCTTTGTCCTGAGCAAAGCTCTGGGCTTGACTCTGCTTGGAGGTGTGACCCCCTGGGCAGGATGGGCGAGGGCTCTGCACGCATTTCTCCATCAGCAAAATGGACAGAAATAGCCACATCCCAGGGTGGTGGGGAGACCCAGATGAGACCATGTTCTGGAAGGTTCCGGGTACTTGTAGCCATCTAAGAATGTGAGTCCGAGTCAGGCCTGAGTGTGAACTTCTGTTTTAACTCACCTTTGTGCAGTCTCAGAAGGGTGGGCCTGGCCCACCACCCAGAAGACACTGTCCTAATCCCAGAGTGTCCCCTCGTACTCAGTCCCTCACTTCCTGATGTGATGAGCAAAACTGCTAACAAGCAGTGGAACACAGGGCCCCTGACACCTGAGCCCCTTCCAGTTTGGGAGATTTGGGGACATTCCCAGGACCCTATCGCTTTTTTCTCCAAGACTCTACCATTAATGCTCTTATTAAAGGTTATGTCCCAACAGCCTTTCAAATACCGTGATAGGGAAGGGCTGTTTTTGCAAAGCACTGCACCAAAATGGACAAGATACCCGTAGAGCTTAAATGGGAGCCTGGCTTTTTGTTAAACCCACATTCACACCCTGTACAACGGGGGCTCTTCACCCCCGGGGCCGTGGACTCCTGAAATCGTGCGGAGGAATTGTGGGTGGGCAAGCACATGCCTGCCCGCGTATACATTTTCCTGGCTTCACCAAATGGACAACGGTCCCAGGGCCCAGAAGAGCAGGGAATTCCTGTGTCCACCACGTCAGGACTCATCAGGGATGATTATGAACTGCTCATGTCTCTAGCAGATGCTTTGAGTGTCCCGGGTCTCCTGCGGAGCAAAGACCTCTGGGCCTCTGGCTATGTTCTGTTTCTGTACCTGACAAAGAACTTCATCACGCCAGGATTTCTAGCCCACCTGCCGGTGCTGCCCACAGCTGCTGCCACCTCCAACACACCCACCCCACCCCCATCAGCGGCGGTGGGGAGGAATGTGTGTGGCGCGTGGCTGGCCAGCAGTGACTCTGGTGGTGTCCCTTGCTCATCTCTGGCTTCTTCATGTTTTTTGTTTGTTTTTTTAAGATTGTATTTATTTATTTGAGAGAGAGCACAAGCAGGGGGTAGGGGGAGAGGGAGAAGCAGATCCCCCTGCTGAGGAGGGAGCCCGATGTGGGGCTCGATCCCAGGACTCTGGGTTCATGACCTGAGCCCAAAGCAGGCGGACTCTCAACCGACTGAGCCACCCAGGCGCCCCCTCCTTCATGCTCTCATTTGCAGCTTGTTAGTATCTATTAAAATCAAATGCACGTGGCTTTGGACCTTCCAGCCATTCTGCTCCTAGGAGGCATCTCCCCGTGTGTGAAATGCCGTGCACAGGCCAGTACTCGGACAAGCGTTGTGATCAGCAAGCACGCGGGAACAGTGCGAAAACCCGCGCTCAGGGGAGCAGGTGCATTTTCGTAGAAGGCAGTAGAATAATCCACGGGACAAGCATCGGGGAAGCCAGGGGCCGATAATGGAAGTCCTTAGGCCAAGAGACTGAAGCGTAAAGCATGTGATATCGTCACTATGTGTATTAAATACACAGACACACATCTCTATATCACGTTTGTGCATGTGTGGGAATTTCTGGAAGGACACACAAGACACGAACGACGGTCATTGCGTCTGGAGAAGGGAAGCGCATGGCCGGCAGGCAGGTGACGCGGGAGCCGTGTGCAGGTGTCCCCCTCTGGAAAGGAGATCACACAGCCCCCGCCGCCACCACGGCTCCCTTCCCCCTCCTCAGCCCGTAGGCAGGCCCGGGCTTGCCCCCCTTTCCGGGGCTTCGCTCACCCTCCCTCACCTCATCTCTTGCAGATCGAAACCCACAAGCTGACCTTCCGCGAGAATGCCAAAGCCAAGACCGACCACGGGGCGGAGATCGTGTACAAGTCGCCCGTGGTGTCCGGGGACACATCTCCGCGGCACCTGAGCAACGTGTCCTCCACGGGCAGCATCGACATGGTAGACTCGCCCCAGCTCGCCACGCTAGCCGACGAAGTGTCCGCCTCCCTGGCCAAGCAGGGTTTGTGATCAGGCCCCCGGGGCGGTCAATAATCGTGGAGAGAAGAGAGTGTGGAAAAAAAAAGAATAATGATCTGGCCCTTCGCCCTCTGCCCTCCCCCAGCTGCTCCTCACAGACCGGTTAATCGGTTAAGCACTTAACCTGCTTTTGTCACTCAGCTCTGGCTCGGGACTTCAAAATCAGTGACGGGAAAAAGAGCAAATTTCATCTTTCCAAATTGGTGGGTGGGCTCATAATAATAAAATATTTTTAAAAACATTTAAAAAGATGGCCACACCCAACATTTCCTTGGGCAATTCCTTTTGATTCTTTTTTTTTCCCCTCTGAGTAGAAGAGGGTGGAGAGGCTCCGTAAGCTGCTTCTGGGGCATCTCAAGGGACTGGGGCGCCCCTCTCTGCCCCATCCTGGGGGTGTCACAGAGGCAGCGGCAGCAACAAAGGATTTGAAACCTGGTTCCGTGTTGGAGCTGTGGACAATGTCAGCCTTGTAGCGGGGGAGGGGAGGGAAGGGGAGCCCTGGGAGAGCCTGGGTGGGGGGAGGGAGAGGGCAACAGGGAGAGCATGGGAGGGGGTGACAGGGGCTTGGTGGGGAGGAGCCGCTGCCCTCGGCCAGAAAGGGCAGCAGGAAGGGCAAACTGCAAACTTGGACCAAGTGGCCTCCTGTGCTTGGTGGCCCCGGGTCTGCTGCGGGTCAATGTGCCACCCTCTGGAGAAAGGCTCCGGTTCTTCCCCTATACCACGAAGGGACGGTGGTGGGAGGAGGTGGCCGTTTGGCGGGAGGGTGGCAACTCGCGGATCACTTCCTCGAAGACTGACCTTGATGTCCCCAGTGCTGGCCTCTTTCTCCCTCCCTGCAGGGTGGGGGTCCTGAGCTGAGGGGCTCCCCTTGGCCCCACGGAAACCCTGTTTTATTGAGTTCTGAAGGTTGGAACTGCAGCCACGATTTTGGCCACCTCACCGATCTGGGACTTCAGGGCTAACCGGTTCTCTTTGTAAGGACTCGTGCCTCCTGGGGGCATCCGCCTGCTCCCCAGCCTGGGCCTCTGGCATCTCTGGGTGTGCGGGGCTCCGGCGGGTGGGTCCTGAGCCTCCTGTCCCTCCCACGGCCACTGCAGCCACCTGTCTCCCCCACTCCCCACTGCCCGCCATGCCCGTGTGTCTGCTGTGCGGAGCCCAGTCACTGCCTGTCCCCTTCATCGTGTCACAATGTCCCGAGTCCCCAGCCTCACCACGCCCCTTCTCAGCAATGGACGTTGTTCAGATGCGGGAGGCACCTGCTCTCATCTGAGGGGTGTGAGTGAGTGAAGGCAAAGCCCAGGCACACGGTGAGACCGAGGTCTCTTGGTTTAAGCTCTGCTCACCAACTGGTGTGTCCCCCACGAACCCGATGACCTTCCTCAGTTCCTTATCCCCCACCTCTCCTCACAGACGTGAGCCCAGGTGGGCTCAGGGAGGACCCGGGATGTTTTTGCCTTGTTTACTTGGAGAGCCTTTTCCTCCATGAGGGTCTGGCCCCCCTCCTGAGCTGAGCTGGCAGCAAGCCGGCTGTCCCAGTTCCAGAGGTGGCACCAGGACAGGCAGGTGAGGCCCCCTGGGCAGGACCACACCACACACACACACCCCCGCCCACTTCCACCCAAGCTCACGACTGCCAGCCTCTGAGAGAGCCCCGCCACCGCCCGACCCCCGTGCGGACCCCCGGAAGGGGAGCACGCCCCCTCGGAAACGGTCTGTCCCCCCAGCCCAGCTGGAAGCAGTGCCGACCGTCTGTCCTGCCGGAGCAGCTGAACATATACATAGACGTCGCCTTTCCCTCCCCGTCTGCATCCTGTCGCCTTGTAGTCGGATCTGTTTATGCTCGGATTCACAGAGTGACTATGATCATGAAAAGGAAAAAAAAAAAAGGACGCATGTATCTTGAAATGCTTGTGAAGAGGTTTCTACCCCACCCCGTGGGGGTCCTAGATGTCTCCCCTCCTACACACACACTGGGGCCCGGCTCCAGGGGACCAGTGTGTTTCTACCCTGCTGAGGCCTCCTGATTGGAAAGGCTTTCACAGCCTCTGGGACCCACACAAGACCAGATTGTGACATCCGAGGACCCTCAGCTTCAAGGAAGGCCTGGAGCACAGCTACGGCGCCCCCTCGCAGCCCCTGCCGGGGTTTCCCTCTGTCAGGGCGGAGAGCGGCGGATCTCCAGGCTGGCCTGGTTTGCAGCAGGAAGGTGGCCCTCTCTGGTCCCAGCCAGAAGCCCCCAGCAACCCTGAGGGGATCTCGGGATCCAGTACCAGCCGGGGAGAGGCCCGCAGCCCCTCCTCAGCCCGGAGTCCTGGGGCAGGCAGCCCGGGTCTCCCCACTGCATCCCCACAGCCACGGCAGGGATTGCGCCCACCCTGGAGCAGTCCTGGGAGCCTGAGTCGCCCGACTGCAGAGGGGGGACCTGGCCCGAAGTCTCGGTGGGAGCCCCGCTCGCCCGGCACAGGGAAAGGGAACCGCCTTTGTAGAAAATCGCTTTAGAGAAATTCAGCAACCTCGGGCCCAGTCTCAGGCAGCCCTGGGGGCTGGGGGAGTGAAGGGCCGCCTCTCCAGGGCCCAGGGCTTCGTTTGCAACCAGGTTTCCGTGCAAGGAATCATCTGGACCCGGAACTGACCACTGTGAGGCTCTCCATCGCTCTGAGTCCCAGCTGTCCTTAGAAGGGTCCTGAGGAAGAGAAGGGAAATGCGGTTCAGAGTTGGTAGCTCTTAGACACACGGCCCCTCCTTGTGGCCACGGCCTCCGGCCGCCCATGCTGCAGTTGCTGAGCCTGCTCTGATACCTTATTCCTAGGGCCTTGCTCACAGGGCCCTCAGTCTCCCTGGTGGGATGGACTACTGGGGACGGCCTAGACAGCACGGTTTAGGGTGATCGGGCCAGTGCTGGCCGGGAGACTGCGAAGGGATGCTGGCTTGTGACCTTGAATGAGGACAATCCACCCCACCCCAATCCACCCCTGCTTCAGGGCTGGGCACTCTGCCACCCTCATTGCCCCCACCTCCACGGTCAGTGTCCCTTAGGTGGGCTAGACAGGCTGTGCTGTACGCCTGGTCCCTTTGAGCCCTCCACTCACTTATCAGTAGTTCCATTTAAATTGACTTCAATGCGGAGACTGTATCCTGTTTGCTTGTCGTGCTTCTGGGGGGAGGGGGGAGGAGCCTGTAAGATAGTTACCAAGGGCAGAGGGAAGTCTTGGAGGGTAGCAGTTCAACCGCCTTGTAACCCTTTCCTTCAGATCACCCACGGTTTGCTAGAGGTCCCTGGGGTTTCACCTCTCCCCTGCCAGGTTTCCCCGAGTGCAGCAGGCGGCCGGCTCGCGCCGTCTCCCGCCCAGCCCAGTGCAGGCAGCAAGGCTCACGGAGGAGCCTGGATATACAACTGCCCTCTCATGGGGCCCCTAGGCCCCCAGCCCTGCCTCCCAGACCCTGGCATCCTTCCATCTAAGCCACTGGCACCTCCGTGCCACCTTTCCCGCCAGCTCTGGCCGCGCAGCCTGTCCTCCTGGCAGCTGCAAGTGTTCCTCCTTCACCCTCTTCTATCTTGTCCCCAAGTAGACCCAACAAGGTGGGGACGAAGGTGGAGGTGGAGGTGGTCAGCTTGTCCCATCTACCGGCTTGTGGCTTTGAGACTTCTGGTTTCTCTTCAGCTTCGAAAAGGGTTACCCTGGGCACTGGCCTGGAGTCACCCCTCCTAATGGACTTTGCCCTGTGAATTTGCAGTGTTGGGCAGGACAATTTCTGGCACTTGCAAGTCCCACAATTTCTTCGGTAATTTTGAGGGTGGGGGGAGGGACATGAAACCATCTTAGCTTAGCTTCCTGTCTGTGAATGTCCCTATGGTGTACTGTGTGTTTTAACAAATGATTTACACTGATTGTTGCTGTAAAAGTGAATTTGGAAATAAAGTTATTACTGATTAAATAAGGTCTCCGTGTGTGGATTCAAATAAGAAAATAATTGAGGATGTAGGATTTGCAAGTCTTTTCCCAACCCGAGGACATGGCTCTGAACAGGGAATGTCAAGGTTGCTAAAACCTGGACATCAGAATTTGACAGCTCTCTAGCCCGGGCCCAGGAGATGCAAGAAGAGTTCTCAGACTTGTTCATTCTGCGCTGACTCTGACTGCGGCTCGCAAACCACCCCGGTCCAACTCACAAGGGCAGCACCGCCCCTGGGGCTGAGCTCAAGAGGCTGCGCTCAGAGTCGGCCAGACCCATGCCAGCATACTGCCACCACACGAGGCGGGGGTAGTGGGGGAGATCGGTTTTGGTCCCTAGGCCGGCCAGTCGTCCAACTGAATCTGCCTTCCTCTTTCCTTTGGATCCTTACTTAGATGGGGGATGAGGTCTCCTACGTCAGGACAGGACCACCACGTAGCCAACAAAGGAAACAAAAACCGAAAACCATAACCCACTGAATTATTTAGTAATCAGGTCAAGGTGCTAACAAGGAACACTTAGATCTTCATACAAAGTTGCAAAAGACTCCCCGCACCGTCCTTGTTGGAGCCCCTGTGGGCAGAAGCTCCCACAGAAGCGACAGGGCAGCTAGAGAGAAATGCCACCTCCAGACTCAGGGGCTTCTCTGCCAGGACAGGGGGCTTCCCTGGTGGCATCGACTGGACTGCCATCAGAAGGAAGAAAAGAGACTTATTGGTCTTACACAAAGAGAATCCAGCACTGAGCCGCCTCAGAAAAATGATGTTACAAAGTATATATACATTCTCACTGACCCCAACCTTGGGGTGGGGGAAACCAACAAAAAAACCAAACTGAGAGGTGGTATCTCCCTTAAGAGTTTAACAATTTAGAATAGATATGAAATGTCATACTGCTGGTCTCACTAGAGAAAGGCAATGACCAAACGATCAATCACTTACATCCAACAAAAAGATTATCTACGGAGATCCCCTGTCCTCTGGGCCCCCTCACCCCCCCCAACATCCTTTTCCTAGTGACCATCAGGTGACCCCACGAGGTGCCCAGAGACAGAATGGAGACTCCCCAAGAACTGCTCAGCAGAGCAGGGACCCAGGCTGCCACCATGGCCATGCAGAGCCGGTCCGATGTCAAGAAAGGCCTGGCAACACAACATTCTGTAACTTTTTTTTTATTATTTTTTTTTTCAATTTTTCCTTCCTTTTTTTTTTTTTTAAGCACTAGTCTGTGCTTTGCGAACAGAATCAAGACATTAACAAAGATCAGCTTCTCTGAAGAAAAGCATTTCTATAGAACAAAGACAGCTACATGTTTCGCTGCCAATACACAGCTCAAAGCAGGAAAAGAAAATATTTACAAAATACAAGGTTTTTTTTTCCATTTTTGTTTTTGTTTTTTTTTTTTAACAATGCTAAAAGGGTTATTCAGAATTTTCAACCTTATAAATAGAAGAAGCACTTTATGCGTAGGGAGATGGTGCGTTATTGTTTTTTTAAAGAAACAATGACAAACCCTTTAACTTGCAAACAGAATCAAAAAAAAAATCACTAATGTTGAAAATTGTGAAAAAACCCCAACCATTAAGCAGTTTGTCTACTATTTTTATACGATTACAAAATGGCAACAACAAAAAGAATAAAAATAAAAATAAAGAAGTCCTTATTGCCCCCCCCTTTTGGTGATGTGGTCATACATGAGACAGGCACGAGGTTAACCAAGGGGGGTGGTGAGGGAGTGACGGGAACCACAGCGAGGACCAGACAACGTTCCACAGGCAAGGGGAGCGTGAAGAGGAAAAGGTCTAACTGACACAGACAGGGAACCGGATCTGAAGGAAACGGAACTAAATGCATCTGTGACAACAGAATCATACAGGGAAGATGGCTGCTCGTGTCCCTGACCCCCCAGTTTGCAGAGGAGTGGGAATGAAGTTAAGTAGCCCTAACCCTACCTTCACAGACAAGGACAGGTGGTAAAAACGTCCCGAGTGGAAGGACTGGTGCGTACAGGTGTGTGGATGGTGTTGGGGAGCAGACGACAGGGCACGAGGGGCAGGACGGGGACCTGAGCAGCCGCAGCTAGGTCACTGCAGTTAAGGAGTCAAAACAGAGATGACCAAATGCAGAGGAAACCCTAACTAGGTCTCCCAAGATCTGGATGACAAGGGGAAGCCATTCTGTTGACTGAGAGCTCGGTGAGAACAGGTGGCAATTATGGCCAAGAGGCTCTGGTGGGGGTGCTCTAGCACAGATGGCCAAGGGGGACCCAGCCAGGAGGGCCAGCGCAGGGCCAGGCCACCATCGATGGCAGGGGAGGGAAGAGGGCGGGGCCCAGAGCAAACTGTTCTCCCCTCCCCAACCCCCTCCGCCCACCTGGCCGGTGCACCCTGCCGACAGGTGCAAGGAGAGGGGTGATCATCTAGCATCGCTAAGTCCAGTGATTCAACAGTGCAGAGGACGTGCCAGGACCAGGCCAGCAGGGTCTTATCCTGAACTTCTGTTTGCCAATTGGAGGAAGTGCTCAGGTGTGTGACAACAAAACATGGAAACCAAAACCAAAACAAAACAAAAATCAAAACAAAAAATACCAAAGTAGAATCTAAATTCCTTAAATTCACTAAAAACTGTGAAAATTTCCGGCATATGATGTTTGAATATCAAACGCAGAGATTTCTGAAGCTTTAATGCCAATAGTTAGTGAGTCTGTTTAGATTCTTGTCTCCCGCTCATCTGTGAGTTGGACGCTGAGCTGTGACCGTTGTTGCCAAATGCCGACTCTTGATGGGGACAGCAGGAGGTGAGGTGGGGGCCACCTCTGCCTCTCGGCCAGTCTTGCTGCCCGAGGTGCGCCGAGTGCAGCGGGCTGCCCGTTCCTGCGCGTCCAGCTGGTCCTCGCACTCCGCCTGGGGGCTGTAGGCCAACGGGAAGGTCCGCCGTTCCCACGGCTGGACGGACTGTGGGGAGACAGACTGCCACGGTGAGGAGCGAGGCCCAGCCTACATCCTGCCCCAAGGCCCTCTCCCAAAACATGTGGACTGAAGTCCAAGACTAGTCCTTCGAGAGTTCCTGGAGTGGTCCAGGAAGACCCCTTGGAGTGGGCACCCGTCCCACGGCCCCTTCAGAAGGTCAATTTTAAGTGCAGCCCCTTTAAGATGCAGAAGGGGAGGGGCATGAGAGGCAGACCCATCTTCAGGGGGTGCTGTCCCTTCCCCATTCTGTCCCCTACCCGGCCGACCCCCACGAAAAGGCAGTGTTCCTCACCTGCTCATCCAGCCCCAGCTCTGGCGTGGAACAACGGGTGTCCTCGCTGGCTAGGTGTCGCAGCACATCCCGAGCCACAGGGGTGAGGGGCGCCGAGTGCAGTTCTGGGCTGATAGGGCTCCGCGGGGACTGACCGTGGGAGAACTCTGACAGAGAGTGGCTACTGCTGACATCAGGGGAGGCGGGCTGGGGGGTGGAGGGGTTGGCACTGCCCAGCTGGGGAGTTGTCCGGCCATCTGATGACCTGTAAGACCTGGACACCAAGGAGTGCAAATCTGAGTGCCTGGGCAACAGGGGATTACTTGTAGGTTGATTTTCGGGGAGCTTGGGGAGGAGGCAAGAAAAGAACATCCCAACTAGAGGAGCTGAGGTAGACGGACACACACAGTTCAGTCCCAGGAACCATAAATCCCTCGTTTCCTCCCACCGCTGTGTACGGGGGGACACCCCCGATACACAAATCTTAAGAAATGGGCGCACCTATCGTCCCAAGAGAAAAGCCAGGGCGGAACGATGCCAAGGGCTAATCTCTGGCACAGTGCCCACCGAATTCACAGGGAAGGGAAAAGCATCTAGACTTTGAAAACTGTTGTCAAGGGGAAAAAAAGCAAAAACAAGGGCCCTAAATCTTTCTATCTGAGACTCCTGAGGGTTTCTGTGCCTCTGTTAGCCAAACGGAGACAGGGCAGGCCAGTTCTTTTGAGCGGGACCACAACCCCCCAATTCAACTGTCCCAAGGAGGGTTAAACTGTGGTGAGGCCTCCGAAGTGCCTCTGGTTAAATCAACACAACCCTCAACTGGCCCCCGAATGGCCCAGCCAGCCGCCGGGCAGAGCTGGGAGATCACCAAGTTTGCCACAACCGGACAGCGACCCTACCGCCCAGCAAGGCTCCAGCCACGTGACCCTCATACCCTCATTAGGTCCAACGAACAGCCGAACAGCCGGGAACTTCTGTGTTCTCAGCCCTCGCCAGTGGACAGACACAGAGAGCAACCCAGGGGCAGTGGCAACCCCACAGACCCAGCACCCAACTCCCTGCCCACCCTCCCTTCACAGGCCGGGGGACCTGTGCCTGCCCCGTCACCTGCTGCCCCGCCGCTGGGGTGGCACGCTCGTGGTCCACAGCCACCGAGCCCTCTCCATCTCCTCACATTTGGCATGAAGGGCGGCAAAGGCTGCGTCAGATAGATCTTCGACCTGCAAGAGAACAGCTTCACTGGTTCCCTCTCTCCTCCAGGAAGCCAAGCCTAAGTAAAGCTAGAGCAATTCTAGAACCAGCCCCAGCCCTTACTGCGGGGGCTGTCTCTGTCAGGACAGGAATACAGTGAGCTTGTACTTGACACTCACGGGTCTTCAAGCCCCTAGAGTGTGTACACCCAACCGTGTGCACGCGCGTGTGTGCATCCTTCCAAGAGAGAAGGACCATGCTGTTACCTCCTCATTTTCCTCGTCAGGACTCCCCTTCAGAGACCGAAGATCGACCTCGCGCCAGCTGCAAAATCAAGACAGGACAAGCGTGAGAGAGCAGTGCAGCCGGGCAG